TCTGATGTCTCTGCCCCGGCTGTGTATGGATAAAGTCTATTATCTCATGTGCCCTGGGTATTATAAAAGGGTATGCAGCTTTGTTCCCTGTGGCCTTCCTAGGGAGCTGTTGCCATCCTTTCTTATATCCCACCCACATTTCATATCAACAGTGAGAGGCTTGCTGACCTCTTTGGCAAAGTTTGCTCCCATTGTTTTTATATACTTTCCTTGTTTTATATAGATCAGGATCTACATGAAAGTTTTCAGGTGGTAGCAGTAGCCTGGCACAGAGTAGGAGCTAAGCATTTGCTCAGTGAATGAAAGAAAAACTGAGTTATTTAACCATGGAAAAGGCTGTCTTGTAAAATAATGACCTCCTGGCTAAGAGTTATGTAAGAAGTAACTCCAAATAGGATTCCAGGTTTGGGTTGGAAGGTTGTACTAGGTGGTTTGTAAGATTCCTTTCTACCCTAAGTCAGGGAGCTAACACTTTTGTGAAAGAAATCCCTTTTTGTAAACAGAGGAGATAGACCCATAGACAAGTACAGTACCAGATAGGAAGTAGCAGAGCCAGGATTTGTGCCCAGGTCTGCCAGGCTCCCAAGGCCAGTTCTTCACACATGAGGGTGCAGACATGCACATCAGCTTGCTTGCTAAGGCCAGCTTTCTGTGGTGACATATGTCATTGTGAACCTGCACTTTTGCTGCAGCTATTATATTAGTAAACCTTAGGGCTTGGAAGAAATACATTTAAGACCTTGTGAATCCCCAAATTTAGAAATATAACATAATATGACTTCTTCCAATAGGTACAGTAACATAAAACATTTTATGTGGCACCTCTGAACTCTTGGAGAGTAAATGTTACAGAGATCAACAAACTACATTAAGTCAGTAATTGCCAGTGAGTGTAGGAGTGGGTTGCTCCTCTGTGTTCCTTTGGCCTCTGGATTTGTGGAGCTGGGAAGAGCTGTAGGAATTGCTTCCTCTAGCAGCACTGCTCTTCCCTTCCTCTCCTTTCCCTAGAGCGGCGGTTCTCAACCTGTGGGTCGCGACCCCTTTGGGGGTTGAACGACCCTTTCACAGGGGTCGCCTAAGACCATCGGAAAACACATATATAATTACATATTGTTTTTGTGATTAATCACTATGCTTTAATTATGTTCAATCTGTAACAATGAAATTGGGGGTCACCACAACATGAGGAACTGTATTAAAGGGTCGCGGCATTAGGAAGGTTGAGAACCACTGTCCTAGAGGCTGATCGTTTATTTGCGGTTCAGTTCCTGTCTCATAAATTTACTGTTTGAATACTTAAGTTAGTACTTAAGTTAGTACTTAAATACAGTTTAAATAGACTAGGTTGAAAGAGAACGTGCAGTGATTATTTTTCCCTGTGTGGGGAGGGAGTGACTAGGTGGGTGGGAGAGGGGTTAGAACAGTTGTGCTAGTCTTTTTTTTTTTTTTTAATATATTTTATTGATTTTTTACAGAGAGGAAGGGAGAAGGATAGAGAGTTAGAAACATCGATGAGAGAGAAACATCGATCAGCTGCCTCCTGCACACCCACCACTGGGGATGTGCACGCAACCTAGGTACATGCCCTTGACCGGAATCGAACCTGGGACCTTTCAGTCCGCAGGCCGACGCTCAATCCACTGAGCCAAACTGGTTAGGGCAAGTTGTGCCATTCTTTAGTTCTTCCCATTGTGCGTATGAAACAGGTTTATGTTTTTGAAATTTGGCTTTAGTTTATGATGATAATTTTTTATCAGGATCACATCTTAGAAAATTACCTAATGTTATTATTTTTTCTTATATGTAGATCATTTATTCATTTTTAAAGGACTATCAATGTCATATAAAATAAAGCATCTGATATCTATTAAGATTTGCAATGAAAGTTGTAACTCGTTTGTAAAATCAGTCAGTGATACTAAGTGCTCCATTAATGGTGGTAATAATTAGTTTCTGTTCGTCTGCAAGTTACTGAAATCAGGCGTCCTTTGTTTTGCTTTGCTGTAATGGCTGATAGTTCAGGGATTGTCTGTGTGGCGTGCCTGATGTCCTCCTTCTGTGTGGCACCATTGTTTGACTGGACTTGGTTCTCCACGCCTTATGCCTCAGGGAGAGCTCATGCTGGCTGAGCTCAGGCTGGGTCGTTCCTCACGGCTGTGGAGTAAAGACTGCTCTTTCTGTGAGAACTGCACGCATTCGCTGGTATCCTGCCTTCGTGTGGTGGCGCTTTGGCAACCTGTCTGCTAGGTCTCATGGGGTCCTGCAGCAGCCAGAGTGTGCAGAAGTCAAAGGGAAGAAAGGTGATGACGAGTACACAGATGTGCTGATGAGCTTAGGGAGGAGGGACGCGTGGCTTCCTGGCAGAGTGGACAGTCAGTGTCAGCCAAGTCTTGGTCCTGCGTTGGTGGAAAAGCTAAGTGTAACTTGGAATGTTTGGATGGCTGTATTATAGAACTTGTCTCTAGCACTTATTTGAAGAGAATGTTTATGACAATAACAGAAATGAGCCAACTGAACTGTCGTAATAGGTGTAGCTTTTTGGCAGAGGATTGTTTTTGGTGCTACATGCTTTCGGAAGCTTTTACAGCTGCCTGCTGTGCTTAATACTACCATTGAGGAAAGGCCACTTATTCTTCCACTCTTGTTTTCTCCCAGTTTGCCTTGTATGTCACCTAGGAACTGCTCTATGTTTTATAAAATAGAATTTTAAGTTTTCAGTATTCTACCCAGTGTTGCTAATAATTCCTGATATTTGTACTTAACCTTTGTTTTAACATTGAAAAAGGACTTTTCGTTGGACATATCTGTGACATTTTTATTTTTAGTTCAGTGACCCATTATACTTGGCTTATTACTTCACATTATTTTTGAAGGATAAGATCAGGTTTAAGTATAATTCTCTGATGATGCAGTGGCTGATGTCACACGGTGTTCTCAGTCCACTAGTGCTTTGACATTTGTGTCTAAAGAGTATTTCTTCGAAGAAAGACATTATAATCATAGGATCAGCACCCAGATTCCCCCACAAAGGAATGAACTCTGGAGTGGCCCCTCCTCCCTCTGGCTCACTCCACCAGTCTTCCATGAATAGACCCATTCAGGGGCAAAACCCGTGTTCAGTATCACAGTGAAAGAACCTCTGATTCTCTTCAAATTAAATAGTATAGTAAGTAAGTTATTTAATCAGGTTTGCATTTACTCATGAGTGACTGTAGTCTCTCCTCAGAGTACACAGAAAACAGTAGTGAACAGAATTAATGCTGTAAGCATAAACATTACTTTTTTCTTAAATGTTTAGACATATATTTTTATTATAAAAAACCAGGGGGAGAAAACTAAGTGTGTTTCAAAGCTTCATATTCTATACATTTTTTTGTATCATTTAGGATCATTTGTTAGTTTTAGAAGACATAACACATGTTAGTGCATGTAATAGTCCTCAGAAAATACATGTAATATGATTTCCTGATTAAAGAAGATGCTGGGGATGAAAGGATAGTTGAAGGGATTCCACTTTCTTTATTCATGCCAGGGCCCAGAGGAGCCCTGACTCCTGCCCCTAGTCTGATAGCTGGGGAAGGCAGTGGTGGGCAGTGTCGTGTCAGAGAGATCTAGGCTCACATTCTGGCTCTGTTCTTCACTAGCTGTTTGATTTTGGATAAGTTACATTATCTCTCTACACTTCTCTCTACACTTCTGTCTTTTCCTCTGTAAAAGGAAAAGGTTTTGTGATATTCTAAAGAACTTGAGCACCCTGCTTAGTGCCGAGAATAGAGAGTACCGTAAGCATTGGTAATTAGTCTCAGGCCTGCCTGCACATCCTGGCTCCACTTGCAGGCCTCGGCGTCTTCTCCCCTTGTCCAGTGAGGAGCCTTTGCTTTTGGTGATTACTCGTGGAGAGAGCCTCATGCTTTAGTTCAGCTGTTTCGCACTTTATATTTCAGTTTTTAGGAGTTAAGTGATTTTTGGCTAAATTTGCTACACTAATACAGGGTATCAGGAAACCTTTTACTTTAAAAGTTGATTTATAATTTATCTGCTATCTTTAGAGTACAGGCATACCTCAGAGATTATTGTGGGTTCAGTTCCAGACCATCATAATAAAGCAAGTATTACAATAGTAAGTCCTAATGTTTTTACTGGTGGAGGAGGGTCTTGCCTTCAGTTTGTTAAATAAACACACCTGTGACTTGCAATAAAGAGAAGTGCAATAAAACAAAGTATGCCTGTACTGGCTATTTAAAGGTGGTTTTATACTGTAGGTTTTTAATTTTTAATAAATATATGTAGGATAATCTGAGTCTATCATATTCTCTAGTGAAGGTCTTTAGTTCCCACAAATTAATTTAGATTTCCTAGATGCAATCTAAAGAATAAACTTTATATATTTTTTAGTTAGAATATACCTCATATGTCCAAATGCATAGATTTTAAGGGTACAGTTCAGTGAGCTTTGACAAGTGTATATGCCTATGTAACAACTACCCAAATCACAATGTAGCACAGGTCCATTACCCCAGTAATTTATGTCATGTCCCTTTCCCCCTTGTTACACCGCCCTCCCACCTTTTGATTTCTGCCAGTGTAGATGAGTTTCGCCTGTTCTTTGATTTACTATAAATGGAATAGGCAGGATGTGCTTTCTGTGAATGGCTTCTTTCGCGCAACAGTGCTTAGAGATTCATTCATGCATCTGTGCTTTTGTGATTATCAGTTGTTTCTCCTTTTTATCTATAGACTTGGCATTACTTACTGATGAAGGAATTCATTCTAGCCTCATTCTAGGTATACCTGTGTCATGTGCGCCTGGCAGTAAGGTAGCCAGTGGTATAGCCATGGTAATAGTAATTACGTGGATTTAGTTGTTAATCATAGGGATCTATGATATTAAACACATTAGTATTATATAGAAGCAACAATGTGAATTGAACAATGGTGATGAACTTTCAGAAACTTCAAAATCTTAATGTCAAGTAATATTTATTCATCATTTATTGTAGGTGCTACAGAATATTTTGGAAACAGAAAATGAATACTCTAAAGAACTTCAGACTGTGCTTTCAACCTATCTACGGCCATTGCAGACCAGTGAGAAGTAAGTTAGATGATAAATTGTGTTAATTGTAGAATAGTCGTCACCTAAGGCTGTTTCTTTGTATTTTCAGAAAATAGAGGGTGAGGTACTGGCACAGAATTTATTGTACCAGTTTGCCTTAGACATAGGCAATTTGTTTATTAGGTTAAGACTTCAATAGGGCATCAGGATGGGAGAGGAGAGGAATATAAGTAAAACTGTTTACATATTTTTACTGTTATTTTTCTTGGCTCTAGGTTAAGTTCAGCAAACACTTCATATTTAATGGGAAATCTAGAAGAAATATGTTCTTTCCAGCAAATGCTTGTACAGTCTTTAGAAGAATGCACCAAGTAAGTAAGATGCTAAAATTTACAAAATTCAGATTGGTATAAGTGGTATTTAAAGGATCAAGTTTACCATAATTTGAGAATTTGCATTTTCAAAGGTGGAAGCTAGATTATTTGGAATTTTTAAGGTATATTACCTTTTATAGTAAAAGCTGCAGTTTAGATTATCTAAATTTTACAGTAGTGATCTCTGAAGGGAGGATATGCTGACTAGTCAGAGAAAGGAGAAGGATTTCATGTGAGTGATGATTTTTAAGGTGTTAGGGAAAAGTAGGGGATGAATAACCCTTGAAGCGAGGAAAGAGTGTAGAGGCACCAATGACTTTAGTTCCTTATGTGCCACCGTGTGCTGCATGGGGAGGCGTGTGTGCACACAGCCTTGAAGACCAAGTCTTCTGAGTGTCTTCCTCCAGCATGTGTTGTTCCTGGCCATCAGGAAGCTGAGAAATTGTAAAGCACTGCATGCATAATGTGATGTTTGGAGGTATTAAAGGCTTGGTTTTGTCACTTTTCCAAGATACTAGTTTTTCGGGGGTAGGGGACAGGTGTGTTTTGGATGTCAGACATGAGATTTTTTTCTGTGTGACTATTTTATGTTCTTTGTTAACATAAGGCATTAAAGGATATTTATTAATGCCTGCTGGGTGTTGGATGACTTAAAGTCATAATGCACATGAAAAGATTTGAGATTTTAATCCACCAGATGATATTTATGCTTATTTGTTTGTGGGCTGATAAAGAAAGCTAACACATTTTATTTTTGCATTATCTTTATTTTTGTAGCCACCGGAAGGACCAGAAAACTTTTTCTCTTGGTTGGTCTCTGGTTTTCCTTCCAGCTTTTTGTATGTGTCTTTCTCATTCTTGGAAGAGGTCTGCCCTCGGTGTCAGGAGCTCTTTAAATTGATAACAGTTTGCCATGCTGAAAGTAGGTTTGCTCTCTCAACTTTGGCTTCAAGGTTTCATAGAGGAACTTCATATTGGAAGGTGTGGCAAGGAAAACTGAATGTCAGTGTAACCAAATCCTGGCTCTCAAACAGAAATTGACATTTTTTGTTGTAATTGTTTGCAACATTTTTGGTTTACTTAAAATTACATTACTTGCATGATCATAACTACGGTAGTGTTCCCTTTGGTAAATGAAGGTTATTTGGCAGCAGTGTGGGTTTTTTGCAAGAGGCCAGTCCTGTTGAGTACAAAATGGAAGTAAATGTTTGCTTCTCCTTTCCACTGGCATAGGTAATGTAGACTAAATAAATTAATATTTATGCAGTACATTTGGCAGTACCTCTTTGCGAGCCTCATGTAAACCTAGTGAAATAGGGCAAACATTACTATCCTCACAGCACAGATTTAAAAACGGAAGTTCAGGTGGCAGAGGAGGGTTAATGGTGAATAGCACCAGATGTTAGACCTTGATCCTTGAGTTTGACTAAGAAAGAATTCAGAGCCGAGAACTCAGATGGGTTATATAGAAAGTTGCAGAGGAGGAAGAAGTGAGCCGCTGGGCTGCATGGACTCAGGAAATAGGTTACAGAGGCAAAAGAACGGAGCTTAGGGGAAAGAAAGAAAAGGTATGTGCTTTGAGGGAACAAAGGGGAGTGGGGAAGGTATGGGCCTGCTCAAGAGAGAGGGAGAGCTTGCACTGGGTCCTTCGTCTTAAGGGGTTTTAGCTGTTTTCCAAAGACAGGGATTTTAGGGGAGGTCTTGAGAGGATCTCAGTAGAATATTCTTCAGCTTTCCAGGTATGTTCTTTCAGTGTCATGATCTCTACTGATTGGTTGGACCTAGGGGTCATTAGTTCTTGCAGCTGGTCCTGATGTCAACCATGGTGTTGCTTCCTCTGATTTTGCTGCTTTCCTGGGCCTGAAGCTGAAAACTGTCTCTATGGTCAACAGACCTCAGACTTCGTTCCTAAGATTATTTGAAGCAGTCAGAACCTCATTATTCTTAGGGCTTAATGCTTAAGGGAGTGGTCATGCAAGGTCTTTTATAGGAGTTGAATGAGGCTATTCTCTGGCCCTCTTGTTTCTCCCCCAAGGGGGTCTACCACATTATTAGCAGCATGCCAGGGGAGAAAAGGTGGTGGTGAGTATAGTGAATTCTGGCAAAATTAGGTTGAGTGAGGTAATAAAACTCTAGGGCCAGGCTCAGTGGGGCCAAAGAAAAACTTTGTACAATGAAGTAATTGTTCATATGTAAACCATATTAACTTAATTTTAATTGATGAAATATAAGAAATGAAATCCATTGGCTTAGATTATAGGTACGTTCTCCTTTGAATGTATCAACGGCTGTGGTGTTGGATCAGGTTGGAAGTGAAATCATAACAGTATATGGCACAGCACTGAGCAATGAAGTCTTAATAGTTTAATCATTTTCATGTGCACATCTCTAACAATGTTCTCTTGTTCATAAAACTTTGTCATCCTATCATTGCAGTTACCTTCAACCCCCCTTCCATTCTAGAAGCCAGGATCTACTATTTCACTTTGCTCCTGAGTATGAACATCACCTGCTCAAATGCCAGTATGTAGTAGTTTGAAAATAGGTGTGTCTCAGGTGTCTGGATCCCGGTAGAAAGCAGGTGGTCCGATGTATCTTCTGGTGCAGCATCCTTGCTGTATGTGATGACTGGTCTTTGGGTGATTTGGAAAGGATGCTGCTGGCCTTTGCGCCTTCTCCTGGAGGGTGTGTGCTTTCTTCCTCTGTGGGCTGGCAGCAGTTTGTGTCATAAAATTGAGGCATCATCGGCTGTCTTGTATTTCTTTAATTTTTGTATGTGTTTCATCTTACCCAAAAAGATTGCAGTCACTTTTAAGGTAGAGAAGATTTCTTACCTTTTTAATCTGTTACCAGTGTCTGAATAAATAGTCGAAGTTTGTTTGTTAGGTAAGTGATTATTTATATTATAGATAGAGTTGTGGCTAATTCCTGAAGGCTATTAAAACCCCCACTTAGGAGTTCACACTTGGAAAAGAGTCTTCTAGCTGTTCAGATGCTAGTTTACATTGACTTGAGATAAGGGTAAATGAACTAAATAATAAAACCTCAGTAAGCCTGGTTATTGCCTTACGTAAATGCTGTTGATGGAATTACTGTGCCTTTTTCGCATAATAGTAATGGTGATAATTGCCTTCATTTTTTGTCTGCTTGCTTTTTTCTGTATCTGCCACTAATTTATTCATGGCTTATGTTCATTTCTTTCAATATATTCATATGTACACTAGGTACTTATTATGTTATATTGTAGAAGTCACTCTGGAGCCTTCTGGTTTTCACCTCTAGCCATGCTCCCTGGTCTCAGAGTCTCCCTTGATTATCATCCTGCTGCCTTTCACCTCCTCTGTGTTGGACACTGGTGTCTTCCTGTCTTGTTGCTGCAGTCTCTCATTTGCTAGGACTGTCCTGAGGAAAGAGTGCATAGAGACAGTTCATGTTCATATTAATTATGATGCATGGAGGTAGAATTGTTGGAAATTGTTTCCATCCACTGTTTAAGGTTCAGTGTTGTTGAGAAGTCCCTGGCCATTCTAGTTCCTGATTCTTTTGTTTGAAACTTGTGTTTTCCCCTCAAAGCCTTTAGTGTCTTTGTTTCTAGAATCCTGAACTTCGATGCTGATGCATATATTGGATTTGTGTCATTTTGCATTCCTCCTGCTGGCACTTTGGGTTCTTTCCAACTGGAGATTCATGTCTTTTAGTCTGCTGAATTTTATGATAATTTCTTTGATTTACTTCTGTTTATTTTGTTTTTCTGTATCTGGAATTTTTATCCTAACGTGGAACTGCTTGGCCTGGTCTTTTAATCTTCTCTTTCCAATTAATCTGGGAGATTTCAGAGCTTCATTTTCCAGATTTCTTTTGTCTTTCTCAATTGCTCTTCCATTTTAATTTTCAAATGCTCCTTTGCTTTTGTCCTGAATGTTCTTATTTTCAAGGTATCAGTGTAAGAACGTCCAAACCTGTAGAGGATTTTTATAAAAATTTATTTGAGCCACACTGAGGACACACCTGTCAACAGACTGAGATAACAATTTGCAGTTTCTTTTTGTGCATTTGAAATTAAGGAGGAGCTAAGGAAGATTACATGGAGATGGGAGAAAGCAAGGTGGGGATTAGATTACAGGATAGTTAAAAAAAGATGAGCCCAGCCTGTGTGGTTCAGTGGTTGAGCGTTGACCATGAACCAAGAGGTTACCAGTTCAATTCCCGGTCGGAGCACATGCCCGGGTTTGGGCTTGATCCCCAGTATTGGGCGTGCAGGAGGCAGCTGATCGATGATGTTTCTCTCATCGATGTTTCTCTCTATCCCTCTCCCTTCCTCTCTCTCTCTTCAGAAATCAATAAAAACATATTTTAAAGAAGAAAAGATGAAACATTACTAAAAAGATATAGGCTTGGGGCATGATTGCCCACCATGACCTGCCCAGTTAGGAATTTATAATCAAATCACCCTGTGAGGTTACTTTCCATAGAAAACCCTCCTCCCCCCCCTTTTTTTTCTCTCATCCACAAAAGCATGCTTTTCCTTTTTTTATAGATCTTGTGTTATTTCTTTCAGGCTTAATTACAATTCTTTTGAATATTTTTCTGCTCCCTGCAGAGTAACTATAATGTCCCCCCCCCCCCCGCCCCCTTTTCATAGATTCCCACCTTTTGTCCTTTGTTGTTCTCGTTAGATTTTTTTTCCAAAAGTATTTGGTCGTATTTCTGTGTCTTATAATTAAGATTGGTGCCCTAAACTTTTGAGTGGAAGTGCTGACCATGGGTTATAACTTGTTGACTGTTTTGTTGGAGAACCCCTGCTGTTACTATTTTATGCTCGATTTTTCTCTGGGTCTGATTCCCTCAGGAGAAGAGAAGGCTTTTTTGGTTTCCTGCTTTGAAGGTTGCAATCCTTTCTGTCTATGCTTTGGGGTTCTGGTGACAAAGGAGACTGGGGTGAGGATGGCTGGTCAGTGTCCTCTCATGGTCCCTTTTTTCTAAGGATTCCTGCTGGTATGCTCAACTTCTGGTCCACAAAGATAAGTGTCTTGCTGCCTCACAGACCTTTAAAATATATATTTTACTGATTTTTTACAGAGAGGAAGGGAGAAGGATAGAGAGTTAGAAACATCGATGAGAGAGAAACATCAATCAGCTGCCTCCTGCACACTCCCACTGGGGATGTACCCGCAACCAAGGTACATGCTCTTGACCGGAATCGAACCTGGGACCCTTGAGTCCGCAGGCTGATGCTCTATCCACTGAGCCAAACCAGTTAGGGCCTCACAGACCTTTACCCAGCTGTTTGTGGCCCCACTGCTGAAGGGCAGCCTCATTACAGGGGGCCCCGGTGTGATCTTGGAGTTGGATTTGCCTTCCCAGTTATGACTGCTCATCATTTGCTTTTCAGCTTCCAAAGTTGGTTCTTCCAAAGTTTCAGTTCTTTTTGTTCTTGTGAGTTGATGCCTTCTAACATCAACCGTCATGTAGTGTGGATTTGGGAAGGAGAGCGGTTGATAGATGTGCTCAATGTCCAGTCTTCACCTGAAGGAAAAGGTGGCTTTTGTATTTTTTATGTGTGTGCATATCTTGATGTTACTTTGGTAGAAAACCGTACTAACCAAATAGCCACATTTTATAATTCTCCTTGTTTCATGCAAAATGTGAGGCTTCATGATATCTACTAGTATTTTCCTCACGACCCAAAGAAGCCTGGACTTGGGGGTTTGTAGCTCTGCTATGCATAGGTCCTGGCATCTGGATGGAGGAAAGGTTGGGAGTTAATTCACTGTTTCGTAGCAGAGGAGCTTTCAAGGTAAGTACTTCTCCCTGCTATATGCCTGCTTTGAACAGAAATATTCTTGGATTTGGATATTTTGTTTTCATAGAGGTGGTACACAAGGTCTTTCTTGCTCAAAATAATCTGTTTATTACGTAGGAATTTTCCTTCTGTCTATAAAATTTAGGTTTATTTCCTTTGTATTGCATGTCTCCAGGTTGCCTGAAGCTCAGCAGAGAGTTGGAGGCTGCTTTTTAAATCTGATGCCACAAATGAAAACCTTGTACCTTTCATATTGTGCCAATCACCCATCTGCCGTGAATGTTCTCACAGAGCACAGGTGCGTTCACTTAGACCTGAAAGGAAAGGACTTCTTGGGGTACCCTCCAAAATACTAATATTCACTTGATTATTCAACAATGAAAATGTTAATTACCCCTTGAAATTAGTGCCTGAAAAGTACTGGTAAGACGTCTTTGAAATGCATATTAGAATTTGTATAATGGAAAGGTTATTTTTAAATGTCTCCCCTTAAGTCTAGACTAGAGCTCTTTGAAAAATGACTTGAAGCTGCTGGTAAGTATTCTGGAATGTAGCTACAAGCTAGATCAGGATACCAAATCAGTTTTCTTTTAGGCCATAAAACTGGAAGTGCATGAGACAGATTTTCTGTAAAAGATAATATCTCATTTAAAATGAGGGCTGGGTTTTATAGGTATATTTAACATTAAATTGGAGACAATCAGCAACCTGAAACAAAATTAAACACGTGAAACAGAATGTACAGATTTTCTGCTAGGTTGTTAAGACAAGGCTGGTCTGTTTCCTGAGAATTGTAAGAAGACTGAGGAATGTTGCAGTTGTTAGCAGATGTTATCACAAGAGGCACAGATTTTTATTAATAAGTGTTTTAAAAAATGTTTATGGTTTCTTTTTTGAACCCTTTTAAGCTCGTGGGCCCAGGTCACCTCACAGCTGTAAAAATGCCTATTTCATAGGGCTATTGTAAGCATTAAGCAAAAAACATGTATAAACTGATCTGGAGTGAGTGAACATGATAAATGCCCTGAAATGAAGCAGCAGTATTTGACATGTTGATGAACAGAAGGGAGATTAGGATACATAGTGTCCAACAAAAACAAAAAACCCAAAGGACCTCCAACCCCTACCCAATACTTCGCCCTCCCTCACCTTTCCAGGAGGGTGGGCTATGTTAGCACACACCTTTCTGAAACCACGAAACATGCATTCAGTTATGCTCTTGCTGTCTACTCCTGGGAATTAAAAATTAAATGAAATTTCTACAGACTTGAAATGCAAGCATTACATTGTGTTTCTGAAAAGTTTAAAAGGAATTATTGATGCAGTCATAGGGGAGATAAATAGAAAGCAAATAGAATGCTAGGGCAAAATTATGATCTTTTTTATCTTTGCTCTCCATCCCTCTTTTTGGGGGGGAATGCTCTAAAATTGGGTTGGAAGTTTGATGGGAGTGAATAATTTTAGGGAAAGATTCTCACTAAATATTTTTCTCATTAAAGTGAGGATCTGCCCTGAGGATGACATTTAAAGCAAATTCAGACTGTTAAAGTTTCCTAAAATAACACTTCCAAGGAAATGCTTGCAAGTATGTGCTGTTTATCCTCTCTTCTGTACTATTACTTTAATGACTGTGTCATAGCTGAAATGTAAGTGTAGCATTTCCCCAAAATAACAGGGAAAGAATAGATAAGTTTCTGAGTGGGGAAACTGTGCCTCCTGCGTGTGGCTTGTCCCAGAGTTGGGAGGTGGGTGGAGAAGTCATGCTCTGGCCGTGTGAGCCTCGGAGAGGACGCGGCAGGATGCACTGCCTGTGTGCCCTCCTGAGGTCCCTGAGCAGCCAGAGTCCCCACTCTGATCACAGGTCAGACCCCACTTCTGAAGCGTAAGTCCATGAATGGAGATGAGGATCGCAGTTGGCTAGTAGCTTCTGTCAGGGTTCACCACTTTTCATTCTGAATCTTAACTTGTAACCTCTTTCCTATGTTTATGCCTGAATATGTTTTTTAAGGATTAAGTGTAGTATTTTGAAATTTTCAAATCTTATTTTCAGTCTTATTGGGTTAATTTAAATTCTGAGTGTGAATTTGTGAATACATTCACACAACCACCAATTCTAGAATTATAGCTGATATGTACCTTTTGCATTATCATATGATAGTAGACATCATATATTCATGGTTGCCTATTTTGAATGAATTATAGGTTTCATAATTTAGTCTGTAAAATGAGTTTTGTTTTCCCCCAGCACTTTAATTGTTACTTTTTGCTTGGCTACAATATAGTTCTCCTTATTTGTGTTCCTTTTGTTGCCTTCTTGCAGCCCACAGTGTCATTTCAGTAAATACAGAGGAGATTCACTGTATAAGGATTGCTCACATCAGTAGAAAGAGCCATTGTTTTGTCAAAATAGCTGTAACCAACTGTTTTATTTTATTGTACTAAATTAAAAAATGAACCATTGATTTATAAAGTTCTGTTTCTTTTCTTAACTGCATATGTTCTGGCATTATAAAAATGTCATATGTATATTAAAAGATGTTACTTTTGCTTGCAACAGTTACTTACATTTTAAGTTGTAGGGTTTTTTTTACAGGGGTGAGGGGTGATAAGGATAACTTGCTTAGTTTTATTCATATTTCTCTGCTTTAACTATAGTTATAAAATATAAAATATAATCCTTAAATATCAAAAGTACATAAATAGACTTTTCTGTGATTTTCTTGTAGTAGAAAGGCCCTGCATGGATTGTATTTAAAGGAGGGGAAATATACTTCTAGTATCATAAAGTTTTAGTTTTATGCTTGATTAGTTGTTCAATTCTTAGAGAAATGGATATAAAATATAAATTGCTTCTTCTTAAATCCATCATTTTACTCATGCTTTAGGCCAGTGATGGCGAACCTTTTGAGCTCGGCGTGTCAGCATTTTGAAAAACCCTAACTTAACTCTGGTGCTGTGTCACATATAGAAATTTTTGATATTTGCAACCATAGTAAAACAAAGACTTATATTTTTGATATTTATTTTATATATTTAAATGCCATTTAACAAAGAAAAATCAACCAAAAAAATGAGTTCGCGTGTCACCTCTGACACGCGTGTCATAGGTTCGCCATCACTGCTTTAGAGGTTGATAGAGTGAGTAATTTGAAGAGGAGCATTTCTGAGTAAGGATTTATGAGGAGTGTGTGTGGCAGGGGGTGGTGGTGGGGGGGCGCGGGGCAGGGCACGTGAGTGTGAAAGACAAAGCAGTATGGTATGGTTAGAGGGGCCAGACCAGACACAGTATGAACCTCTTGGGTTCAGCTGTCCTGCTAGCAGTGAGAACAGAGGCAGTTGCGGTCTTGCTGGGAGTCCTCATCTGTAAACATGCCTAATAATCCTTGTGGCACAGGCCCAGAGTGGTGCTTATGGGAATCATGTACAGAAGCATTTGCTCTGATGCCCAGCACAGAGTGCTGGTCCCATAGTGTCACGCCCTTCTCTCCGTCCTTTTTCCTGACTGTTCTTTCTGCAGCTCTCACTTCTGCCTGAGCTCAGCAGAAGGTTGGGGGAGGTGGGAGGAAGGCAGCAGGTTGAAGTCGGTCTTGGGGCACTCTTCACTTACCAGCCTATCTCTTGTGAGAAAAGGCAAAATGATAAAACTATGCAAACAAGTACTCCAGGATATTGCTCATAGCTTTTAAATCACCATGACCTCTGGGATGAACACTAGACTAATCACAACAAGGTTCTGAAATATCACTATTCCTGGTTTCAGTAATCCCAGCCCTGTGTTTTTCCTGAGAAAACCATTCTTAGAAAGCACAATGTTATATACACAGAGATATGGAATTGTGTGTTGGTTATGAAAGCAGGCGCACACACACAGCCCTAGAAGGAGTTTGACAGCTTCTATGGTAACATTTTAAATTGCGTCACCATGATGGCTGCCTTAACTGGAAGGACATCATCATGAAGCCTTATTTCTTACAGAAATGAGAAAATGTTTATTTTATGTGTTTTTATAGCTAGGATTATATTTTCACTTTTTTGTAGTTTGCTTTGATTTTTATAGTATCTCCTAAATGGTATATGTGTTTGTTTATTTAAAAAGTTGATATTAAAAACATGTATGTGTAGATAAATTGATAGATAGCTGGCACTATTAACATTATTACTGTATTTTTTATGCAATCCAGGAATACACTCTGATTTTATATATTTATTTATTAAATATATTTTTATTGATTTCAGAGAGGAAAGGAGAGAGGGGGGGAAGTGGAAACATCAATGATGAAAGAGAATCATTGATTAGCTGCCTCCTGCACACCCCACACTGGGGATCGAGCCTGCAACCCTGGCATGTGCCCTGATGGGGAATGGAACCGTGACCTCCTGGTTCATAGGTCGACGTTCAACCACTGAGCCGCACCGACTGGGCTGCACTCTGATTTTAAATGCAATGTACCTTGCTTACTTAACCAGGTCCCCCGAGTTGTCACAAACTTGAATTTAGATAGCAGTAGTCTTCTAAAGAGGTCTTACATGTAAGGCTAATTTCCTAGGGATTAATTAATTTGTTTTCAAGCTGATATTTGAAACCTTATATTTCTAAGTTGGTTTAGTTAAGTAAGATGATTTCTCCTTTAGATGCATCACTGTGGTCAGTTGAGGATGGGATAAGAGGTGGTGGGGAGTACCAACACCAGTTTTTGCTCTCACACCTTCTCACAATGAAATCCTTTTAGGTTGAACCATAGGAAAGTGTTATATTCACCACTTTTGAGCTGACATTTTCAAATGGTTTATCTTAAATTTTGTAAGGAGCCCTTGGAGTGGCTGCTGGTCCTAAGAAGTTTGGGCAGGGGGCCAGTTAGACCTGGGTGGGTGGAGGGATGGAGGAAGTGAGGCAGCAGCTGGGTCCTTGTGTTCAGATTCAGGTAACCTACATTGGGGGCGAATGTGTTCAGTTATTCTTTAGCATCTTATTTTATGGCTTCATTTATAATGCTCTTCCTGATAGGTGACATGGAGCCTCAGAGTTCACTCTCTTCTCTTCCCAGTGGGTGACCTGACCTGGTGCTTCTTTTCTCCCAGCCTGTCTATCCCCCATTTTCCCATATCTGGAATGACATGTGCAGCAACAGTGAGGAACACAGATCCAGGTCCTCACATGGATCCTAAACATCATTTGTCCTGCAGTGGAGAGACAGAAATGCAGAGTTTCAGCCACTGATACGGGTCATAAATGTGTCAATGACAGAGGTTGACTCCCATTGCACTCCTGGCCATCCTGGGTCATTCTAAACCTAGGGCTGCTGAATTGGATATTCAGGGCAAACAGTGTATGCATGATGCTACAGGGCTCAGGAGGGCAATGTTGTTGTAAAAGGTACACGAATAATAGTGAAGTTGAGGGTGAAAAAGTATTAAAATATTACAAACTTCTTTTTTTTTTAATATATTTTATTGTTTTTTTACAGAGAGGGCGGGAGAGAGCTAGAGAGTTAGAAACATCGATGAGAGAGAAACATCGACCAGCTGCCTCCTGCACACTCCCCACTGGGGATATGCCCGCAACCCAGGTACATGCCCTTGACCGGAATCGAACCTGGGACCTTTCAGTCCACAGGCTGACGCTCTATCCACTGAGCCAAACCGGTTTCGGCATACAAACTTCTTTTTAAGCTTTTTAGATTTCTGAATATATATAGTCAGTTTTCTCAACACTAAATGGGGACAACTTTATTTGATAATGTACGGATTTGATGAAATATTGATGTGGAAATACTTTTGAAATTTTAAAACTTAAATAAATATTAAGTATTTTATTGTGCCACATTGTGCACTCTAACGGAAACACTGTTGCTCTCACAAGTGCTTTAGGTTGCAGTTGATGTTCAGGGGATGTCGGGTGGACTGATAAACGTCTGGAGTGTTAACGCTCTGATTTAGGTTATTAGAGTTTTAAAGCATTTTTCTCCTCTTACATTTTTTACCATTTTGAAGTTCCCATATAATTGGAATCTATTTGAGCTCTAAGACTACACACTTACATTTGACCCTTCTGTATGAAATTGGCTTGCTGAAATGACCTTTCTTGAGTAGAATTGTATAGGTGACTACATGTATTCTATATTATGCACAATTGTTTTTACTCATAATGAGAGACGTAACATGAACCTTCTGGGGTTTCCTTTGGTGTTTTGAAATAACCAGCACATGTTTGGTTAGAAAAGCTATAGTTTTGACAATATAAATGGTATGCTGTTATATTTTTGCTAGTGGGGATAAGGGAATGTCACTATGGTGAACTCTTAACAGCAGTGTCTTATTCTTTCATTGCTGGCGGCTTGTTGCTTAGTGAGGAGTTGGGAGAGTTCATGGAGATGAAAGGTGCCAATAGTCCGGGGATTCTCGTGTTGACCACTGGCCTCAGCAAACCATTCATGCGCCTGGATAAGTACCCCACTCTGCTCAAGGAGCTCGAGAGACACATGGAGGTACTGCTTATCACATGTCTGTCCCTGGAGTCCATTAGCCACTGTGAGAGAAATTATTAATGATTTACTTTGGAATCAACAAAAAGAGTTTACCAAGGTTTTTTAATTCAGTGGATTTTCCAAATGATTTTCTTAAGTATTAATTTTTTTCTCCTTATCCCAGCTCCTTTATCTCCTTTTTCACCCACTGCTGCTGATAGAAAAAGTTTCGAAAGGTAGAAAATGCTAATAGCATTGAAGAGTCCTAGCAGGAACATTTAGCTACAATTATTAAGTGCATAAGTTGTGGAGTAATATAATGTAAAAGCATTATTTAATTAAAGATAGGTATTTATCTTATTTCTGAAAAACAGGCTGTGAGCCTTGCAGAAGTTTGGGTTTGGTGAACTATTGGCTAGGGTTTGCTGAGCTTTTCCTGTCAAGGGCAGGCTGTTGGTCTTTTCCACAACTGCTCGCCTGCTGCCAAGGCAGCAGAGCCGAGTATTAGGAGTGGGTGTGGTGTGTGCTGTCTGCATTCACTACAGCAGATGGTGCTCTCCTGACTCCAGCTCAGCGCTTGGCTTCTCTCTTCGAATGATTGTTTCCCCTAAGGCCACTGGCTCCATGATTCCCTTAAAGAATAAGAGGCGGCAGTTTAATGCTGGGAAAAATAGGATAGGACGTATAGGACATATTACAGGTTGAAAAGTATTGGAAGATTCAGTAGAGTCTATAGAGAATGTCTTTTTAAGAAAAAGCTTTTCATTATAAAAGCTAATCGTGTGTTCTTTTACTCAAGGATTATCATCCGGATAGACAAGATATTCAAAAATCCATGACTGCCTTCAAAAACCTTTCAGTAAGTGATTAAGCATATTATGGAGTGTTTTTTCTTACATAGTATTATGGCAAATGAATGTAGAAAAACTGTTTATCAGCTGAAAAAGTTAGATGATAAAAAAAAATTACCTGTGAAGTATAATTAAGGTTTACTCTGGTGAAATAAAAATGAGCATACATAGTAGTTATTCCATGACTGGTAAGTTCTCATGCTTTACTAGACTTTGGAGACTAGAACAATGAAATGATGATTGTTTAAATTTTTTAAAGGCTCCACATATTTGATGCATTAGCTACCTGAAAATGACTTACACATGTTTTAGCCTTCATCCAGTCAGTGTCTTTAGTGATAGAGTATGAAATGGAATACTGGTGGTTCCATTTTATTTTTTGTCTGCTGTCTTATTGACTGTGTTTCTGAGATACACACCTTATAGCATAAATGCTACTTATCTTTTTTCCCCCTCTTAGTCTTCTATATTGGCAGATATTAATAAAATCAGAAAATATTTTTCTTGTCCAGTCTGCATTTTTTCTTCCATAAGTGGCAAAATATGCTATATTTTTCTAAAACAGTGTTTCTTATTTCAAAGGTTTGCCTCTCTGGACTTGATTCCATGCTTGTGAATTAAACACATTACGTGTCTTAAGAAGAATTAAGATAAAAAGCAATATGGCCAAAACTTACAATTCTGGAAGTTTGTCTCTTTTAATAGTGTTTTACTATGTTTTCCAGGCCCAGTGTCAAGATGTACGGAAAAGGAAAGAGCTGGAGTTGCAGATCCTGACGGAAGCCATCCGGAGCTGGGAAGGAGATGACATTAAGACCCTGGGCAACGTCATTTACATGTCCCAGGTCATGATTCAGTGTGCCGGAAGTGAGGTACTGTCATGCAAGTGTGCAGAGAGTGGATGGGAACAGCAGTGGAAGAAACACATGCCATGGAAGGGATACCAGCCATGTGCTGTTGGTCTTTGTTCTTATTCTAGTTTCTTGGTTGTTTTCCCTGAAACCATTAAAAAGTCTCGGATAAAAATTAAGAGCTGAACATAATTTGCATTAAATGTTTTATAAATGCTTTTAAAGTTTTCTTAGTGACAGTCAAGATATGTTTTGATGATTGTGTAATACAAGATTTTAAAGGACTACCAAATGATAACAACATTTTAATAGGACTCCTAGCTTATAATTTGTCTACTTTTTGTCCTTGCCAAATATAAAAGTGGTTTCCGGTATGTTAGCAAGGCTTAGCTGGCTGTGGACCACTTGACCAGTTAAGATGCAGCCAAGAGCAGTTATGATCAAAGTCTATATCAGTGTCAACTAAGAGATGGTGTCAGGAGAGGATTTTAGATCCCTCGTTAGTAGTCCAGTTTGGCAAATGTCTGCCACAGAGAAGTATGGGCTTCTGGCCATGGGCTTCTTACCAACACTGCCATTCCAGGAAATCTACTGTTTTCCATGGTTAGATCATTATACTGTTCTATTATCTAATATTAATTGACATTTGCTTATGGGAATCACAGTTATCTTACAGGTTTGGTTTAAGTGAGAGATGAAACCAGATCCTTGTGCTATCCCCACACAGTGAAATTTGAGCAGTTTGTGTTTCAGTATTCACAAGTTACATCTTCATTGGGTCACTAAGCTAGTACCTCTTTATGAATTCTATTTTACCTTTATAAAAAATTATCAACATGATCAAAATATGCTCACTACCCATTTCAAACATGACATTTTTAGGGCAGTAAGAAAAATGAAGCTTGTACTCACAATGCACATTCCTTCCTGCCTATGAAATTAAAAAATGATATCAGCCCACTAGTTGTTAATTTGGGTATCATAAGAAATCATGACTTTCTAATAGACTACAATGATTAAAGAAAACAACCCAAATCTTAATTCTTTTTTTAAGTTATGCACTTTTAAATTTTATTTAAAAAATCTATAGAAACATTTCTCAGTGTTTTCTTTATAATATTAGATCTAGAAAACATTCACTTAAAAAAAAGATTTAAAGTTATAATGATGACTGAAAAGATGATAATATCCCTGTTTCCCTCTCACCCTTCCACTTTCTGTAAAAACCAATGGAAAAAACATCCTCCCGTGAGGATTAACAAAAAAGGAAATAGAAAAAGGAGGGGAATATAATAAGTACTTTTCAACAACTTCTTTAGAGTATAGAATGTCTTTTTCAAGGCACTTTGCATGTGGCTGGTGTTCTGAAGTCTACTTGGAGACATGGCTTCCTAGTATCATTTGCTTTTGTGGGCAGTGGTTAAATGGCAACTTGTGACAAAGGCTATCTGCATGTTCCTTCTGTGTCTCCTTTTAGGTTCTGGGAATTTTTGTCCTTTAGTTGTGGTCTCTGGGGCTTTACTTACCTTATGGAAGTGAATGATTTCTAACACATAATGCTTTTAAGCCTTTCGTGTACACTAGATTAAGTTTACGGGATGGATGCGAACAACATTAAATTGATATATCAGGAGTTATAGGGAAGTGCCAGGAATTATTAATAGACCAAAATTGATTTTAACGTTTTATTTTACCCACTTTTTATCATGAAAGGTCCACCTATTTCCCCTCCTCCCACTAAAATTTTACAAGTTCTTTTGTTGTTTTTTCCTCGATCACAAAAATAAAATTTTAGATTAATTATAAAAAGAGTTAATGGCAGCGATAGATCCCTTAACCAAATTTTTAAAGAAGATGTTACATGGGCTACTTGTAAGTCTAATAATTCATTCTAATTTTGTTTCCATTTAATACAGCTAATGTAATTTGGTAGAAATACCTAAATGGAAAATATAATGCAATGTTTCAGAAGATTTAGTTTAAATATTTGTTTTCACATCTGTAAATACATGTTTTTGGATTTATTTGATCTTTTACTTTAGGAAAAGAATGAAAGATATCTTCTACTCTTCCCAAATATTTTGCTAATGTTGTCTGCCAGTCCCAGGATGAGTGGTTTTATCTATCAGGTAAAACACATTTTAAATTTATTTTTTATTGTGTGTCTGAGAATCATTTCCAGGCATATTTTGAATATTTTCATTAAATAGTAGCTATCACTATTTATGCGTTGTGTGTAGTGTTATGTGTATAGTGTTATACATTCAAATATGTATATACATCTCCTGTCTGTGTATTTTGATGTCACTGTGCAAACATCCTGGTATTAATCCTAAGCGAAAAAAGAAGGGAACAAATGAAACTTACAGAACTATCTCCTAAGGGCACAGATCCTGAGGTGCAGGGTAAGCTGTGCCACCCCCTGAAGTCATATTTGCAGTTGCCACTTCTTTCCTGGTCGTTGTGCCATCGTAGGTGCCACTGTGGGTTGGGCTGGGCTTCAGATTGAGACGCTTCATAAGCAGTGTAGCACGGTAAGAGGCATTGGCAGATGTCAGGTGTTATAAGTAGTAGTAAATGATCACTTATCCTCTTTATTCTAGTGTTCTATAATTTCACTGATTTTCTCTGAGAAGATATGAGAGCTGATTTAAATGAAAACACAGGGCAGATCTTTTCTGGTTTTTTGTTTTTTGTTTTTTTGGTGGTTGTTTTTTTTACACAGTCATCCCTTGGTTTCTGCAAGGGACTGGTTCCAGGACTCCCTCTCAGATACTAAAATCCATGGATGCTCAAATCTCATATAAAATGTCATGGGACAGTGCTTACAGTTGGCCCTCCCCATCCTCAGGTTCCTAGTCATGGATAGAAAATACTGTTTTTGATCTGCAGTTGATTGAATCTGTGGATGTAAAACCGATGGATAGGGAGATCTGACTGTAATTTACAGTGCTGGTATTGAGCAGATTATATTTTCCCTGTATGTCTAATAGGTGCTTCTAGAAAGGTTTTATTACCTTTTTTCTGTGTAGTTAGAGAAACTAATGCCTTTCCCATCAGTATGTAAAGGCCTGGCCAGTCACCAGATACTGCTTCAGCAGAATCACCACTTTGTTTCCTCTGAGTTGCATTTCAGAATAGTGGGTTGTTTCATATTGTCTGCAACAAGAACACTGGTGAATCCTCAGTCAAAAGTGTCTACAGCTTGTTTGTATCCAGAAAGCTTTATCTGCCATCCAGAGAGTTGTCATCACACAGTTATTCCAAAAGGAGCACTTTAAAGTTGATAAAGCAAATATATATGGACAAACCCAGAAAAATAATACCTCTTGATTTGTAAGTCTGTTTCTGAGCAGATGTTTAGATATAGCGGCTACTTGTGTTCCCTCAAACTGGCAGCTCCTGCTTTGTTAAATGACCCTAATAAACATAAAGCAGAGTCCTTTATTGTCAGCACTCTCTGGCTTCATGTTTCATATCTTAAGAGACTGAGATGGGGCCCTCCTCTGACCTGAGGAAGCAGAGGTTGCCCTTTGGGTCAGGCCAGGCCCCTATGGATGACCAGGCTGGTGAGTTTGCTCTGGATGTTGGCATTGATGTGCCACGGGAGGTCAGACCACGTGTATGACCTGTTTTCCCACTCTGCACAGTTTCCTGTGAGGTGTTGCTCTCTGAGTGCTGTGACCTATGTATTGTGAATATTTATATCTGGCTTTGACTGACATTAAAAAGCATTAAATCTAGCAGTACCCGGAACATCCTATCCCTTGGTGTTGATTTACTAGGTTAAAAGCAGTCACACAGCTTTATTTCTGTAGGACTTCTCAAAGCTACTAATACACTTGTGTGCATTATGAATCTTGGAAAGGAGTGCACAGTATACAGCATTTTTCAGATTCATCCGACCCTAGAAGGATCAAGTACTGGCTAATGTTTCACCACCAAATGCCAGGACAGGCTTTCTCGGTGGACTGGATCGTTCTAGTTCCATGAGCTGTAGGAGGATGTTCAGCAGCACTTCTGGCCTGCTTCCCTCTATGTATCGGGAGCACCCACATCTCTGTGACTTTGCCGGTGTCCTCCGCAGGGCAGCCCTTCCTTCCCCTGTACCTTGCTGAGAAGTACTACTTTCGGAGGTGCTGAGAGAGTCCTCCACAGGTGGCTTGGCCCAAACGCTGTTAGACTTTTCCTAAAGACTTGGTTGATCACCAGGTACATTAGTATATCTGTGAAGATGTTTGGTCTACACTAGCCCATATACCTAACTCCATGTGCTGTGACTGGCTAGGCTACCGAGGCAAGAAAGGTGGTCATTGACCATACAGCCACAGCACAATCCTTGGATCAAGAAGACATGGTAACTTCTTGTGTATTAATCCAGTAAACCAAAAGTGAAAATAAGTGGTGTGTGCTGTTTGAAACCAGGGATGTCTTCCTAAGGGTGGATGGTTTTTTTGTCAGGACCAAGTTTCAAGCACCTTTTGGTGTGAACCAAATGTCTCAGTGACGTTTTGGACAGGACCAAGTCCTGCCTGGCTATTTGCAGTCCTTTTCTGGTGTCTCTCCGGTAGCATTTCCTATTTCAGTTCCCAAGGCCTCCATTTTCAGAATGGACAGGTTGGCTGCTGTTTTCTGCATTTTGTGCAGCGCTCAGCACAGCTGCTGACTTCCTGTCTGGTGGACAATCAAGTATAACTTGTACAATTCCTCTTGCCCCAGTTTCCCCCTATTTTGCCTTCAAACATGGAACTTTCTCTGCATTTCTTTATGAGGCAAATCTGTGCTTCCTTTTCATAAACATGCCATTTAAAATAGCTACCATAGATGCTAGTGTGTTTTTTTTTTAATCATAATATGTAATGTTTTTGTGTCCTCACATTTATGTTTAGAGTAACTCACCAGTTGGAATTTATTTGTGTTCTAGTTTGCTGCTCTGTACCTTTTTGCTGAGGCTCAGTTTGTTGATTATAGTATTATGATTACTTATTTGAGATAGAGGCTTTTTGTGTTATACATGTATCTGGTACAAACAAGACAGCTTTTGTGGTTTACAAATGCAGTTCCTCTGCCATTTCTAAAATTATTAGTATTTACTTTAGTAACAGTACCTTCTTTACTAGAAAAGCACTAATTGTGTTTTTTTTTGTGGGGGGGCTCTTTTTTAGGGAAAGCTACCAACGACAGGAATGACAATCACAAAGCTTGAGGACAGTGAAAATCATAGAAATGCATTTGAAATATCAGGTGATAGGCAAAAACCTTGCGGATGCTATCTGTCATGGTGATGAGAGGCAGCTTACCATCTGTGTGCAGATTCTTGCTTGACTATTTCAGAGGGCTGATGTTTAACTTTGTTGAAGTATACTCTGGGTGTATGTATGTGCATGTGTGTGCTTTCTACCAATTTTCCAATTTCAGCCCGTTTTTCTCATCTCTTCTAGGGAGCATGATCGAGCGGATATTAGTATCATGCAACAACCAGCAGGATCTCCATGAATGGGTGGACCATCTACAGAAGCAAACGAAAGTCACATCTGTCAGCAATCCTCCCATTAAGCCTCATTCTGTGCCGTCTCATACCGTAAGGACCCCATACTTCTGCCTCCAAACTTCAGGGTCAGCTTTTGGTTGAGTTGTCAGCAAGTGGTCAAGTAATTTAAAGCATTATCAATATCTGGATCAAGACTGCACAATACTTGCCTTGTACTTCTCTGCAAATATTTGCTTATTTCCATTGAGTAATGAATAGCTTCACAGTGGTCACACTTGTGAAACAGCCCTAGGTTGTGCTTCATCACATACAGTCAGTGGCACTCGGGCAGGAGTCTGCTGCCGTGCTCAGATGGGCCTCAGAGAGTAAGGTACTGGGGTTTTCAACTGAAACTTGAAGAGTGTGCTTTTTCTGAGAAGTTTAAGTATTTCTGTTGTTTCATCAAAAAATAAGTATTTATGATGATGAAAAGGACCAGATTCATGTTGAAGGCATTAAAATGTAATTTTTGACTCATTATTTTGATTTTAAGAAAACCACTTCTACTTAGAAAAGCTCAACAGCTCAGCTCATTGGTTTTTTAGATACATAAACCTTTCAAAATAGATCAGTACCAAAGTGTCATTTTTTAAAACTTCTCTTTATTGGTGTTTTTTTGCTTAAGATATTGCATCATTTGTCATCTTTACCAAACAATATTGAAGAACCAGGCACACCTTTTTACAAATGACTTACGATTACATAGCATTTCCAGTTGGTAGGTTTCTCTCACATCCTTAAATTGTTATGATCTTTGTTAGGACGTTTCCTACTATGTAATTCGCTTCTGCATTCGTTATCCTTGGCATTAAAGTTTTAGCTCAGGAAGGGTGGCTGTAGCATAGCATTCTGGTCATGGTATCATCTTACTCGAAATCTCTCAACAATATGGAGGCTAAAACTGCTCATTTCCTTTAGCTGATATGTCATTATGAATGACTCTGCCATTTATAACTCCATACTTTAAAAAATACTAAAGATGCCCTAACTGGTTTGGCTCAGTGGATAGAGCGTCGGCCTGCGGACTCAAGGGTCCCAGGTTCAATTCCAGTCAAGGGCATGTACCTTGGTTTCGGGCACATACCCAGTAGGGAGTGTGCAGGAGGCAGCTGATCGATGTTTCTAACTCTCTTTCCTTCTTCATTCCTCTCTGTAAAAAATCAATAAAATATATAAAAAATATATATTAAAGATGCTTAGCTTTCATGGTACTAAACTTACTTCAAAGGCATGTATGTATGTGTGTGTTTATAAAGAAAAATGAAAGTGCCTTTTCATTCAAATTGTTAGTAACAGTCTGAAACTAAGCTTTATAAAATTTCATTTCAGGTAAAAGCTTTTTCTATTTGGACCCTGGCCTCTCATAATCCTTTTCATGTCACCCAGTGGCAAGGGAGGTGCCCCATCAGCAGGGATTTTAAGTCCCCACTCTGTGGATGACGCTGTTCCTCACATACAGGCTTTTGAAATTTGCCTTCTTAGGGAACTTCTTTTTGGGGAATTGAGTGTTCTCCCTGTGTTCTGTCCATATCTAGCTTGAATAATGTTCTAATTTTAGCACAAAGCATACCTCTTTTGACTTATTTGAGGAAGGAGAAACACCACCAAATATTACTTACTACTACATTATTGCTAGAGGGGATGTTTTGCATAATTTTATTCTTTTGTGAATTATTTTTTTGAAAAAAATTTTACAGTAGTTGTGTAGCAAATGACAAGCACTGACACACACACCAGGACAGGCCCGTGGTTTCTGCACAAAGTTTGTTCTTAAATATGGTGGCATCAGCTAGAGCCAGGGTTTTCTTATTTTAAACATGTATTTCAAATATTGTTCAGCTTTCTTTCCTTTTAATTTTTTTAAAATAGTTTTTATTGATTTCGGAGAGGAAGGGAGAGGGAGAGAGAGATAGAAACATCAATGATGAGAGAGAATCATTGATCAACTGCCTCCTGTATGCCCCCACTGGAGATCGAGCCCGCAATGCGGGCATGTGCCCTGGGCCAGAATCGAACCTGGGACCCTTCAGTCCGAGGGCCAACGTTCTATTCACTGAGCCAAATCAGCTAGGACTAAAAAATATAGTTTTACTGATTTCAGAGAGGAAGGGAGTGTGGGGGGTGGGGGAGGGCGGTGGAGAGAAACATCAGTGATGAGAGAGCATCATTGATTGGCTGCCTCCTGCACGCCTCCTATTGGGGATCAAGCCTGTAACCCGGGCATGTGCCCTGATCTGGAATCCAACTGTGACCTCTTGCTTGGTTCCTGGGTCGATGCTCAATCACTGACCCACACAGGCTGGGTTGTTCAACTTTCTAATAATGGCTTCACTCAGGTTTACAGATCACAGAATCACTCAGCTCTTGCTCCTGTTAAGCATGCCTTATTGCTTTGGGTCATTGGCTAATTTTGAATTAATTTATTTAACATTTTCTTATTTAATTGTCACTGTGATGGGTTTTCCAGTAATATAAACCCCAGTGATCAAGCCTTCTCAGAAGTTAGATCTCTATAACTTTGTTTTGATTAAAGTTAATCAAATAATTTGTTTTATTCCAGAGAGTGGCAATTTTTTCCTATAAAAAAACCAGGTAGTAAATATTTTCAGCATTGTAGGCAATATGGTCTCTGTAACACAAAAGCAGCTATCAACAGAGGTGGGCCTGGCTGTGCCACTCCTTAGTTAAACAAAACCTGGGGTCAGGTCCAAGCTTTGCCCACTCCTAAATTACAGGCACTGAATAACAGCTGACTGGGGAGGATTACCCTCCCCCATAGTCTTGCTCCTAGTAAAATTCTGATATAGTATATATTAAATGAAATACCTTTTTGCAAATGTTAATCCATGGCAAATAAAGGTGGTGGTGGAGTGTTGTCCGGGTTTTAGTTCCCCAGCGTCCTGCTGCCTCCTAACCCAGGCTAGGCCGCAGCCTGAAGCAGAATCTTTGGGGTATCGCAGAGTCAAACTGCTTGGAGAAATGATAATCTGGGGGTTATTTCATTGGGTGCATTTTTTAAAATTAGCGGAACTAAGTGTATTTGATTGAGGTTTCTTTGATGGTGAATGTTCTCTTTTTTGCTTTTTCTTGTTCTTTTCCTTGGTTAGCTCCCCACCCATTCGATCACCCCATCCAGCAAGCATGCAGACAGCAAGTCGGTGCCACTGACGCCTGCCTACCACACACTGCCCCATCCCTCCCACCACGGCACCCCACACACGACTATCAACTGGGGGCCCCTGGAGCCTCCGAAGACCCCGAAGCCATGGAGTCTGAGCTGTCTGCGACCCGCACCTCCCCTCCGGCCCTCAGCTGCTCTCTGCTACAAGGAGGTGAGGTCTGAGCGAAAGTGAGCGCGACCTGACATCGGGATGTGTCAGGTTGGTTGTGCTGTGCTTCATTCCAGTAAATTCAGAAATAATGGAAAATCACGAATTTCTACCTGTGACATAAAAGTGCAGCTCAGCTTCTTTGAACTGTGAAGGGTCTGCCTTTCTTTATTGTCATTTCCTTCTGTTTAGGGGCCTGGGAGGCTGTGGAGACCCTATAGGGTGGGCGGGTTAGTGCAACATCGGACCCTCTCTGTGCCCCACATGGCCTTTTCTGTGCTCACCATGGTCCTATCTTGAGGACTCAGAAGCTTCCCATGGGCTTCCCATGGGCTTCCTCTGGGCCTCTAGCTGAATCTGAAATGATTTTCAGCTTCCAGTCATGATGGGTCTCACTATTTCTGCATGCTGTTCTGCTGTGCCTTCCTTATGATCCTTTTCCAAATTTGAGATCTTGCCTGGGAACCCTACATTTACACATAAAAAATGAAAGTTAAGTCGGCTTTTCTCTTTGTGTAAGAGGTCATTATGCACGTTGCTCTTTTCCTTTCTAGTCCAGGATTTTGTGCAGTTAAAATATGATTCCCAGCCATAAATAAGTACTAACAGTTTCCTGCACTTTCATGCTAGGTTTTATACAATAAATCTGCTTTGATGAGGAAAGGAAGTGCCATGAGAATTGCATTCTGAGAAGTGTTAGCACTCGAGGAAGCTTGATAATTGAAATGATGAGAGTTGGTTATCACGAGCGTGAGCGGCATGAATGAGTATGGTTATCATGCGTATGAACTTGAGTGTGAGTTGGCAGTATGGTCATCGTGAGTGTGGATATGGTTACTGTGAGTGTGAGTGTCGTTATTGTGAGGGCGAGTATGGTGATGATGAGTATCAATGTGGTTGCAATGAGCGTGAGTGTGGGTGAGGATGGTGAGTAGGGGTGTGAGTGTGGTTATTCTATTAGCCTGAGTATGAGTATGGGTAGAGTGTGAGAATGCATATTGTTATCATGTGAGCATGTGACCATGGTTATTCTGAGTGAGTGTGGTTATCACTGTTGTGATTTTCATAAGTGTGTGTGTGAGTGTGAGCATGGTGAAAAACTATTGCCTGATAGGAGTCTCCACGTCCAGTCAGAGACTGAATTTGCCTAAGAATCTGGAGCAGACCCTCCCTTAATCCTTGCTAGCAGTTCTAAAAATTTTAAGACACCTAGAACAGTGCTACATAAATTATTATTTCTTTACGTTTTTTGTTCTTAATGAATTTTGAATTTTTTGATATGTCTTGCTGATGGTGGTTATATGCCCAAGTCAGAAATGTCTTTATCATGGGCAGTTCCTTAAAGAATGTTGATGTTCTTTATTACCTAGTTTAGTGTTTACAGGTAGCACAGGCAAGCACGGGTGGGGGTTTCATTATTGAGAAGGAAAATTGGGATAAAAGTGTTAATTAAGCAAAGGAACAGAAAGGCAGGGGAAGAGGTGTGGCAGTGAACGTGAGCATCTGGTTTGGGTAAGTCTGGCTACAGTTGCTTTGCTGGACCCCATGCTGTAGAAAAGGTTTCACACTCTTAAGTATTGTACAGTATTACTGAGCACCTCTAAGCACTTAGTGAAAAGAAGTCTTACTGAGTATGGCAAGAAACGGAGCAGCCAGCCTTGTCTGCGTCGAGGAGTCGGGTGTGCAATGTGTGTGGATTTGTGCCCTCTGCACGTGTGGTGGGTGCCTTGTCTGGTGCGCCGCCAGGCGTCTCATGTCTTTGCTTTGAGTTATGGAAACCACCAAACACATGCCGTGTTTATTTCTCTGTGAGCTGATTTCTGCTGCATTTTAAAGAGTTTTTAAATACTTATTTTTATGGAAAATATTTTGAAGAGATACCTTTAAACATAAAGTTTTGTTCCCTCTGTGCTTTCAGTCTGACTCATCCCATAGCACGTCACCTTCTGAGTGTTGGTTTCTCATTGTAAGATTCACAAATGGCTTATGTAATTTAAATGATGCGGAAATGAACCCTTTTTAAAAATATATATTTTATTGATTTTTTACAGAGAGGAAGGGAGAGGGATAGAGAGTTAGAAACATCAATGAGAGAGAAACATCGATCAGCTGCCTCCTGCACACCTCCTACTGGGGATGTGCCCGCAACCAAGGTACATGCCCTTGAACGGAATCAAACTTGGGACCTTTCAGTCTGCAGGCCGACGCTCTATCCACTGAGCCAAACCGTTTAAGGCAGAACCTTTTTTGATACTGATAATTTAATGCATGCTTGACAATTGAAACTTTACCCACTCCATTGGACTTCTTCCTTCTCTCAGTTTTTCACCTTCATCTTCTGCAGTTTGTGAAGTTGTGTTGTAGAGGTAAGAGGTAGACCATTACATTATGAATTTAGCTCTGAACTAGTGTGAACATGCTCTAGAGAGCCAGTGTCTCATCTTCTCTCTGTATCTGTGCTCAAGGCCGATAGGATGATCTATCTTACTCCATTTTCTTCTCCCCAAGGCTTCAAATATTTTCCTAAAGGACTCATTTTTTACTTACCTCTACTTTAAAAATAGCCCTGGGCTTGACCAGGTGACTCGGTTGATGAGAGTGTTTTCCCAATACGCCAAGGTAAGTGGGTTCTATCTCCTGTCAGGGCATATACGAGATTCAGCCAGTGAATGTATGTATAGGTGGAACAGCAAGTTGATGTTTCTCCCTCTCTCAAATAAAAAAATTGTAAAAATAGCCTTAGTTTTCTCATCTCTTTCTAGTTAGCGGCAGCAGATGGGTCTGTGCCAGAATTAGTAGCATGCATGGCTCTCTGTGCGCACGCCAGCCAGCTGTCCTTTCCTCTCCAGAGGCTGCCTGCCTCCCCTCTGCTGTGTGTGTGACAATGCTGATGGACCTAAGTAACATGAGGGTTCTTACCAGTTACTGTCCTAGTATTGATTTTAAATTAATGCTCCGCTGCTGGCAAAAAATCAAAATATGAGAAACATAGGAAACTTTTAACAGTGAATGACTGTGGTGATTTAATATTTTGCATCTTTACAGTGACACTTACTGATCTGTCAGTAAAAATTACTGCCTTGGGAAATTGTCAGCATTTTTTCTCTTTTTTCCCCTTAGGATCTTAGTAAGAGTCCCAAGACCATGAAAAAGTTGCTACCTAAGCGTAAACCAGAGCGGAAGCCTTCGGATGAAGAGTTTGCGCTGAGGAAAAGTGAGTCTGTGGGCACAAAGGCCCGGGTCTGCCTCACACCCCACAGCACAGTGTGCCTGGGATAGGGAGATGGCTTCTCAAAGACTTCAAACACAAGTCAGGTCGGAGCCTTCGTGGCACTTCCAAAGGAAATTGTTGGAGCAGCAAGAGCGACAAACTACTGCGGTGTAGACACTCGAGCAGGAAAGAAACACTAGTGATGTGCTGTCGGATTGGACGCGGGGTTTGTGGGAGTGAGGCTTTCAGCTTGTAGGGACTGTGATGGGGCAGGACTCTGAGGCCAGGGGAAGGGCTGGGCCAGTGGTGAGAATTTCAGAGTTGTTCTCTGTGCTTAGGTGGTTTCTCAAGCTGTGAGATTGAACAAAGAAGAAGAGAAAGGGTTGAGTCTTAGATGATGAGGGAGGGAAGGAGCTAGCAGAAGAAGGACCAGGAGGTAATAAGAAAACCAAGGGTTTTTGTATGGGCTAAAGGAGAAACTTTACCTGTGTGGACCACTGTGTAACTAGTGCCTGTGCACAGCAAGTACTAAGTAAACCTGACTCCTTTAAAGTCACATCGTAATTCTGTAAGTTACTTTAACCTTTATTACATTCAGAATCAGACAAGTTTTTCTGGTTATTAGAACCAGTGGTTTCCTCCTCTGTGCCACATAGAAAATGTTCGCTGTCCTCTCATTAATTTACCTTCTTCAACCTTCTCAGGGAAGCCAGTCCCTTTCTGGCTTCATGATGCTTTTGTGGCACTGAGGAGGAAACCACTGTACTTGCCCACGTCTGAAAATAATCCAGTTACATCAGCTGCACAGAGGGAATGGCCTGTTCTAGAAGTTACCTTGCAACACCTCCTGAAATGAAACTAGTTAAATGTTACCTTTCTTACTCCTGAGAGAGGAGCTTGTTTCGGAGCTTATAATGAGAAACCTGTTAATTGATTGGTCCCCATTCGTGAAATTTAAGTCAGCTTCTCAGTTGCTCTTAAACTCTTCATACTGGAGTTTATTTTTCAGTAGGGACTATTCAGCTTGCTTTGTATATAACTGTCTTACTATCATAAAATAACAGAGGGTTTAGTGTGCAACTTATAAATATTTCAGCCTTCCATTCTTCTTACATTTTTATTACAGTAGGTGAGCTTTTTAAAAAATATATCCAGCCTGGCCGGCCTGGCTCAATGGTTGAGCGTCGACCTATAGACCAGAAGGTCACAGTTCAGTTGCAGTCAGGGCATATACCCAGGTTGCAGGCTTGCTCCCCAATGTGGGGCATGCAGGAGGCAGCTAGTCAATGTTTCTCTCTCATCATTGATGTTTCTGTCTCTCTCTCCCTCTCCCTTCCTCTCTGAAATCAATAAAAATATATTTTTAAAAATATCCAAATATTATGTTAGAAAATATAGAAAATCTAGGGAAACAAACTAGAGAAACAATTTAACCCCAGGTTCCTATGAAGTGTGAGGCTCTGAGCTTGGTACTAATACCATTAGATGCTGTTAGTCTGGAAGATTCTGTTCTCTGTACCTGTGATCTCTGAGAGTGAAGCCAGTGTCTGGAATAATCCATAGCTTAAGGAAGAGCCCTGGAATGATACCTTCAAGCTTTAGATTGTGCCTTATAAATTTTTAGATGAAATCTCTAGTAGGAATTTGTGGATCGTAGGAAATGTTCTTTGTAAAGCCTCTGATAAATGTGGTCATATCGCCTGTCTTCATTCCTACCAGCTGTGGATGAAGGGAAGACTTTCTCTCCACTATCCATATCAACATTGAGAATTGTCAGCTTTTTCACTTGTTATCATTTTGGTATGTGAAAACCTGATGCTTTGTTTTAGTTCTCACTTCTTAGTGGGATTGACTATTTTTTGTTACTGACCGTATTCTTTCTGTGTGAAATGCTTGTTTCTAGTTCTTGCCTTTTTTTCAATTTCAGGATATGGAATATTATTTTTCTTCTGGATTAGTAAGATAACATGTACTTAGGATATATTAACCTTTTGTCAATATGCTGCAGATAAGAAATACTTTTAAATTAAAAATTCTATTGAATGTAATTTTGTAAATACTGGAAAACAGTTATCTGACAAGAAAATAAAAGGAGGGGTTATCTTGATTGTCATCATTTTGGTTGAGTGGATGACTTCATATTCCTCTACTTAATTGGAGTAGTTATTTTTAGATTGTGACCTGTTGTACTTGTCATTTTTAATTCGATTGTGACATGTTGTGTCTGTCTTGACAGGCACAGCTGCTTTGGAAGAAGACGCACAGATTCTGAAAGTCATCGAAGCTTATTGCACAAGCGCCAAAACACGGCAAACACTTAACTCAAGTAAGTTTTATAATAGTGGTTCGTTGTTTTGGTGTGTGTGGTTTTTTTTTGTTTGTTTGTTTTGTAAATCACAGTGGGAAGGAAACTGGGCTGTGGGGTCCTGTGCACAGCCCTCTGTGTGCTGCCTGAAGGGTCCTTAGTGAGTGATGCTTCTGTGGTCTAGGCAGGTATAGGATAGCTGGAGCCTCACATCCCTAAATCATTGAAAGGGTCTGAGCTGTCAGTAAAATAACTGATTTCTAGAGAAGGTTCCACTGGGAAGCCTTTAAGTATAAGGTGCTGCCAGAGTTTATGAAGCTTAGAGAAGATGTATTTAGATATCAGCGGAAGATTCATTCAGTTCAGTTATTTAAGCTACTTAAACTATTGGTGTGGTATTGGGATTTTATTTATTTAATTATTAGCTTTTTACAATTCTTGTTAAAAATATAAATCTAGAACAAGGTTTCTTTTAGTCCACTCCCTTTTTTTAAATGATTGCATTTAAAAATTTTTGAAAGTAGACACAATTTATTAGATTTCAGTGCTACTGAATTTGCCTGCATCTTATGCATAATGTCTTAAAACCTTAATCTATTGTGAGAACAATAACAAGTGGGCCTTTCTTTTTTTTTTTTTTTTTTTTTTTAACTTCCCCAGCATTTGAGGGTGGAGTGCAGTACAGTGGGGGGTGGGGCAGATGGAGTAAAGTATGTGGTTTGTTCAGAAGAAAAGGGGACAAGTTTACCCTCTGCTGGTGCTGGGGCCACAAGCATCACATATCCTTCTGTACTGTTGTTTCTTAGGGCTTTTATTTTTTAAGAACTGGATGGTTTATATATTACTTCTAGCATAAAAACTAGTTTTTATTCAATTTTCTGTGTTTGGTACCCTTTCCACCCTGACATTTGACAAATCACTTATCTCTCCTTCATTTTCATTACCTGTAGTATGGTGATTAGAATCAGTGTCCTGTCCTTTTTTTAAACTGAAGATGGGGGGGAAAAGTGGGAAAGGGAAATTCAACTGCTTTAGCTTTTGTTAAAGATGAAGATAGGACTAATAGGGTTAAACCCCAAGTGGCATTTACAGATCATCTAGAAACTTCCTGTGGCCAGTACATTACATATCCCACCTGTGACATTAAGACTTTTCCCCCCATATTCTCACTGGTGAAAATGTCTTTCGTAGTGACTAGCCAGCAGAGAAGGAATAGAAATGGAAAGGTCTGAATGTGGAGTGCATATGCATAAAATCAGGCAATCATTTGTAAGTCCAGATTATTGTCATTTAAGATATTACATACAGTTTCGTATATGTGATGAGATTGTGTTATAAGTAATAGGCTGTAAAATGTCAAAATGTTTTTGGTTTTGAATTTGAGATGTTAAAGAATTATTCATCTCAACTTCAGTTATTTGAAATACAATTTCAACCTGATAGTCTCAGGTGACTAGACTAGGCAATATGAGCTTTATGTATGTTTTCTGTGGGCGCTGCATTTCTTCATCCAAGAGACAGTGAGTGCCCTGTGATGTGCCTGTGGCCTTGCTGCTTCTGGCTGCCTCAAAGGAATGGCTCATCGTTTGTGCAGATCTTTCCTTATCACATTGCTTTTATTATGTGTTTCCATTTCTCCTGTGCAAGAAAAGCATTGGACACTACATTAATTTTTATATTTAACGGCTATTATGAGCCAACTCATATATACAATCATATATGGCCTTAACCCAAACATTCTTAAGAACAGGTCGGATAGGAAATTGACCCTTTGCGCTTGAAAGGTGATTTCCTTGACACATTTGGAAATGGGATCAGAGTGAAAGCAGCTCTTTTCATATTAAATTTTTAGTGAAGACAGGATGTCATCTAAAATTTAGCTCAGTTCTGTATACATTTAGATGCCATTTACAAACTAAACATCTTGGGTATTAACTTCTATCTCAGAGAGATAATGACCTTCACAGACTATAGGTATTTAGTTGAAGAAATCCAAACTAGACTATTGCTTGTTGTTACGGATTTGGAATGGAATTACTTTGGTCAGAAGCAGGAACAGGATGGGACCAGTGGTTGCTGTCTGTGCCATTCCCCAACACAGAGGGGCACCCTGGTTCCCACTGAGTGTTTCGTTCCAGAACCTTTGTCCCTGGTCCATTCCAGCCTGCATGTCTCATGCACAGCTGCCTGCCCAGTCATTGCTCACAGATGCCAACCACTCATGGGCTTATTTCTGTTCTCCCATTTTGCTCCCACTTCCTCCTGTTGTCCTTCTTTTAACATAGTGGCACTACCAGTTCACATCGCTCTTCCTGCCAGTAAAAGGGTCTGCATCAGGGTGGATAACACCTGAACTGACATGGCTTCCCACTTTATCCATAGCCACTGGCTGAGTGCTCTAAGGAGTGGACATGCGGGGTGATGGGAAAGGGGCAATGAGTGGGAAGCGGACCCTATTTAATTCCTTTCTCCATTCTGAAATTTTTACAGTGGTTATAGTTCATAAGGTAAGTTTTAGACCCCCATCATTAAGATGACTTCTGGTGACTTATAGTCTGACAAAGAGGTAGCTGAAGAAGTAAGTCAAAAGTCCTTTGAAACTATTTTGCATTCAATATCCACTTAATGGATAGGAAACAATTTTTAATTAACCACACAAATGGTTCCTTTTACAAATAATGTCCTAAATGAGGTTATTTGTCAATAGAATGTGGAATAGAATTGGTTACTTGTTAAATGTCTATGGATTCATTTGTACTAGTAGACCTGGGCTTAATTTGAAAAGATTTAACTGAGGACTTAATAGCAATGTTTTTAGAAAGGAACAATTTGGAAATAATATTGTGCTTTAGGTTTATTTAAATAATAATTGTTCTGGTTTTATTCTAAGGGTTGTGCTAACTTTGTTATTAAAACCCAGCCATAAATAAGGAGAAGTGAACATTGTTGCCATTTTTTAACAGTATTTTCTCTTTTCCTTCTTTTCCCATCACCTTTTGCTTTTATTTTCATGTTTTTGGTTGTGGCTCTTCCTGTCCGTCCTCCTTTTCATCTCACCTTTGCCTGTCACACCTGTCACTCCATCCCACTCCCGTCTTAGCATGGCAAGGCACTGACCTGATGCATAATCACGTCTTGGCTGATGATGACCAATCAAGTCTAGACTCCTTGGGTCGTCGCAGTAGCCTTTCTCGTTTGGAGCCTTCAGACCTCTCGGAAGACTCTGACTATGACAGTATATGGACAGCCCATAGTTACAGAATGGGTTCTACATCTCGTAAGAGCTGTTGCTCATATATCTCTCACCAGAACTAATGCACTTCTGAGCTTTCTTAACAAATGCTTGTTGTATCGCAGCCTGCTTTTCTTAGATGTTTTCTTGCTGTTCCTTGTCTCTTTTATGTGATATTTTAACAACTTTTGAGAGCGTTTCTGATATTCCCATTGTATTTTGTGGAGGCATAATTGCCAATTCAAGTATCCATTTGAAGTTACTTACTAACTGTTGAAGGAGATGGTGAATTCACACAGCCTATATCTATGGGTTCTTTTCCCTGGATAGTGGTGGTTTTATAGCCCAAAATGGTTTGGTTTTTTAATTCTCACTATAGCAACTGTCTCATTTCTTTTTGGATACAGCTATATGAACACTTTTATATTTTATACTGAAACCATACAGGTTTGTGATCTAAGTGCCAGTAACACGGAGGAGACTCTGGCCTTATATATAGGATTCTAAATTTTTTATGTATAATGGACACCCTGATCAAGTAGTTGTGGAGAGAGAAGAAGGAAAAAGCATGCACAAAAGTACTGAGAGTTCGTTCAGACAGCGTGTTCTGAGGACTCCTGGGGGCACTTGGCGACCATGAAGAACCATGTGTTGGTGTGGGCTTTGGGCCTTGGCAGCACTGGAAAGCTTGTCTGCACCCTACAGCTCTGTGCTTGTCAGTGTGCCACATGTGCTCTTCCCTGTGCCCCCATTTGCCCGTGGGGTGTAAGTTTTCCTCTGCAAAGTCCAAATTATTGTCAGAGTTCAGACATGGTCATTACACCAAACTTTCCTTAATTGGAGTAATTTCTCTTAAATGGCACTTAGCAAGCCTATGCCACTCTACCGAAGGTTTAAAGTCCAAACTCTGAAGCATTGAGCCTCTGAAAGTGTAGATTAGAGTGCTTTCAGAGAGAGGCATTTTGGTGTGCTTAAAAAGGCGAGTGCTTTGGCTTCAGTCACAGCCTGGCTTTCACCCTGACATTCATACTTATACTGCCTGTGATGGACACATTGTTTGTTTTCAGCAACTAGCTGCAGTGAATCTCCATTTACAGCAACCCTATCCTATATAACCCTCATTCTTGATTGTAATGGGGTATCTGAGTCTATTAAAGACTTACTGAGTTGCCATGTAACTCACTTATTAGGAAAGCTCAGATTGGGGTGCAGTCCCCCATTTTCCTGGGATTTGTTGTAAGGAGATTTCACTGGCATCACTCAAGACTAATTTCTGCTTCAAAAAGAACTGAATGTGACATGTTGCATTCAGTTGTAGCATCCAAATCCACATCCGGTCATTGCTAGAGGGGAGGAAGTGTGTTCTCTCCCATGCATGCTATATCTGGTGTTAAAATGTAACCTTAAGGTTGTGTTTTAAGTATCCATTGAAACCAGCTTCAGAAAACAAGATGCCATAATAAACTGGGAATAACATTTTTTCCTTTCTTCAGGGTGGCTGTAATTCCAGGTGGCTGTGAATTCTCTCTTCCCTCACCATACCTCCTTCACCAAACCCATGTATTCAGTGTTCTGATCTCATTTGCACAGAGACAACTCTGATACACTATGTCATTGTTTCCTGGGAGCTGGGTCCTGTTGCTCACAAGCCCAGAGGTGCTAGTGAACTCCCGGCAGTAGCATATTGCTTAGAAAATCAGACAGCTTCAGCACTGCATGCAATGGGGTCATTGGGAAAACCGATAATTCTAAGTATCTGTTTTCAAGCTTATGACATCTGGAGATTTCATATTTTTATATCAATTAGTATAAAAAAGTTGAGGAGCAATCGTTTAAAATTAGAGCTCAGTATTAACCCATGGTAGAGATGGAGTTTAATATATGTTAAGCCAAATAGCAAATGGAATTTTTGGAAAGCTATAACTACACAGTTCATATGCTTACTCAATATCATGCAAGGAATTTAGAAGCAATTTTGTTTTATATTACGTAGAGAACTCACCTTTTCTGATATGAATAGAACATCTTTTTGTTTGCTTTGAGACTATAATTGGTGCATTGGCCTCGATGCCTTTGCCATGCCTTAGTAAACTTGGTTGCCTGGGTCATTTGCTATATACCACAATTGAAATACAGTTGCTGCACTTAGATTTTTCTGTAACACTAGTATCATTTGGGTTGTCTAAATGAGTTTCATTTTCTATACACCAAAGTTTTGACATGTTCCCATTATTCCTGTTTGTACCAGTTAAAGCCATTTGACGATGATTCTTTGTTGATGCTAAGATCACTGCACAATAACAACCTGATTTTTTGTTTGTTTGGATTTGTTTTGAATGTCTGGCACCATTAGTTCTTGTGACCTGGTTGGAAGTAATAGTGCCACAGGCCTGAAAACAGTTCTTGTGTGGCAGTGGTGATAAGGCGTCCAAAGGGCCATGTTTCTACTTCTGTGGAACTTTAGTCATGCTGAAATAGTATTATATGCTTATACAGTTCTGTAATATCTATGTGTACAGCTAGTATTATAATGAAAGGATGAAGAATCTGGACTAGAAAGTAGGGTTAAGCCATTACCAGTCCTTGTTGCAAATGGCCTAAATGGTGTTCCCATTGAATTAACACTTGCCACAAATACATAAGCTTATATTAATTGTGTTTTGCATAAAATTGCCAAACACAGTAATGTATATATAGTGGTATAAGACCTGGGAGAAATTTATATATTGTGCTTTTTATCTGTGAACGGGAAAGCCATTTTTAGTGGGTGACTGCCCTTTGAAGACTCAGTTGGATGTATACCTGAATGTTGCATTGTATTGTACAGTATCATGTTATTGTTTGTGGTTGCATATGGCAATGAAGTGTTTGTTTTATAAAAAAAAAAAAAAAAGACGTCTGTTATGTACAGTTGAAATAAATTTTGCATTTGCTAGCCTGTGGCTTTTAATATTTGTTACATGGGGGTGGGGGGAGTAGCATAGTTTGCAGTTTAATATGATTTGGCTGTTCTCATGAACGTTGTCTTCCAAAGAAAGGTCAGGCAATAGAACACTTTCTATCTGCCTTAATGGAGAAGCTCTCACTTTCTTAGGTTAAATATGTTCTAAACAATACAGGGCCACTCATTGTACATTTTTATTTCATCTATTTTTCTTTAATTTTTCAATCACTGGGAAGTTTGTCTTAAGAATGGAGCATCTCATTTTTGTGTGTTTTGTGTGTGTGTGCGTGTGTGTGTGTGTGTGTGCATAAGTAGAAAAAAAACACGCAACTTTAATGCTTTTTTATACTAAGGTCAGTTTTTATTTTTGTTTTTTAAAGTGCATGCCCAGTTTAGTAGGAAAAGCAAAATGAAAGGAAAAGAAGTCCCCGTGCCATTGTGGGGCTAGGCCAAGGTGCAAACAATGAACAAATGCAAATCATTCTCTAAAGAGAATCCTCACATTTCTTTTCCTAAGAAAAATAGAGTCTTATAGCCATAAATAACAAAGTGGCATTTTGGAGAAATTTTATGAAGTAGATTTTTAAAAGTATAATAATTTTTTAAAATATTTTTTTATGGATTTCAGAGAGGAAGGGTGAGAGGTGGAAACACCAATGATGAGAATCATTGATTGGCTGCCTCCTGCATGCCCCCCTACTGGGGATTGAGCTCACAGCCCGGGCATGTGCCCTGACCTGGAATCAAACGTGACCTGGTTCGTAGGCTGATTGATGCTCAACCACTGACCATACCGCCCAGGCTAAAGTGTAATATTTTACTTCATTCTGGAAGTTATTTCACTTTTGGTTGTGTATAAGTAGATGAAGATATTAGAAATATGAATTTAAGAAGTGAGTTTTGCTACAAACATACTAGACTGCTGGCTAGCGAGGCAGATATGTTTGTTATTTATTTATTTTTTTATATAAACTGTTTCTTGGCTTTTGGTGGAGGCTGACTCACTCATGTGTACACACACACACACACATATCATGCTCATGCCCTGGATTTGTGTTGTCAGATCAGGCACCAAGGTAGTGGTCTAACAACCGAGATGATTGTGCGCTGGGGCTTGAGTCCTACTTACTCCTGCTGCCTGGGCAAATCATCTGTTTATAAAATGGAAGTGTCTGATCAATCGGTGTTTCTCAAATGAAGGCCCATTTGGGGTTCTCTGAATTTTAGGAAGCAGTGTTCTAAGTGTGTGTCTTCAGCTTCTGGATTACACCTCTGAGTTGCCTCCAGGGGCCCCAGTGCCTACTGTCTCTCCAGCTGTGTGGTGCAGAGTGACCCCTGCTGGTGGCCGTGTGGACCTGTCACTGCCTGTTTGCAGCCATTGGCGGCTGGATCCCAAGCATGTGCAGATCTCTTTGGAGTCCTCAGGTTTGGTAAATGCTGATTGGTGCTAAGTATACACTATTGTTTCCTTATCTTCACCCCCTGTTGAACAACTACAAGACCAACCAGCATTTGTGTGTATGTATCTATAGACAGGATTTTAGGCTAGTCGAGCACTCTTCAGATTGTTACCCGGAAAGATTGATGCTGAAGAAAAAATGTTTAGCACGCAGACGAATTTAGGAAATGCTGAATTAAACTTCAACAGGCATTTTTACTGCAAACCTTCTGAAAACCTTAAAAATGCTACATGTACCTTGTGAATCTCTAAGAAGTGGCTGTAGCATTCAACATTTTTCAAGATGATGTGTTGTGGAAACCCCTATTATCACCTGTAAAATACAGATTTTGGGAAACACAGGTTTGAGTATGCTGGAACCATCATGAACCTGTTCATCTGTGTCTCAGACCTTTTCGAGAATTTTAAATAAAGCAATAGAACATTTTTGGTGGTTCTGCTGTTAAATTGTTTTTCCAAACTAAGTAGTTCAGGCAAAATATGCTGCAGTACCTCTGAAAATATTTCAGTAATCTTGGAGGTAACTTGTTAAATCTGTTTACTTTCTAAAACTTTGTTCTTAAAGAAATAGTCAACTTACTTATAAACCTGGCTGGAGAATATCCCTTTATTGTTTTGTTGAAATACTAACATTTTTTTAGTTATTTTAGCAAAATATGTTATATTGAAACTAGGCAAAATATTAGCCTCCCATGGATTTCTGTTCAGGAAACAAGTAATCTTCATTAACAAACCTCCTGGCTCATCATCAGACCTATAAATGACTTTTTTTTTTTACATTGGCATGTTTCAGGAATATAGCAGCTTAATACATCTGACTATAGCAAACTTAACATTTTTTTCTGTCTTAGATATTTTTATTTATTTTTAGAGGGAGGAAGTGGGGGTGGGAGGAGAGAAACATCCATGTGAGAGTAAACATAGATTGGCTGCTTCCTGCATACCCCCAACCAGGAATTAAGCCCACAAACTGGGCATGTACTCTGACTGGGGATTGAACTGGCAACCTTTTGATGCACAGGAGGACACCCAACCAATTGAACCACACTGATCAGGGTTCAAACTTAACATTTTTATAATATATAGTTGCATTCTTCTTGTGTGTTTTAAGTGTATTTAAAAATCAGAACCATGTCATGCATGTACAACCGTTGTACAGATTTTAGTTTCTCTGATTTAGCTATGCTACGTGATGGAATTTAAAGTTTTTATCTTTTTGATTTTATCTGGTAAGAGAGATTTATAAAATGTAATTTTTAAGTTAATCCTCAGGACAACTCTGCAGCGGTGGTCAATTTTGTTCTTCTATTTTACCATTAATGGAATGTGGTTCAGTGGTTAAGTGAGCAGCCTGAGTTTATTGAGGACTATCACCGACGGGTGTGAGTGCAAGTGCAGATGGTCCCAGCCCCTCTGCAGGACAGCAACTGCTGTCTGGCCCCTTTACAAAGTGGATGTCCCTTGTGATTCTGTCTTATGTTATTTGAACGTTTTAATGCTGGGAAGCGTGTAAATAGTTTGCCTAGGAAGCTAGAAGATGTAAAAATAATTGTGTAGAATTTCATATTCCCTCAAGTGCTGTTGTATAAAAACATTTTTAACCTCTTGTCTCATCCATTTGAAGGACTGTTGTATTACAAAACTGAATGTGACAGGTAAACAACTGATAACTTTTTTGATTTGACTAACACAGTCAAGAACTGTTTGGACTCAAAGCAGATACCCGTTGGAAAATTTATGAGCCTTCTAAATTGTCCTATGTCATCAGTTTGCTTCTCTTCACAGTGCAAATTAAATTTGTTTTCTACATATCTGAATCTTTCTGAATCTTTTTCTCTTTTTCTAGGAAAATAGCACATGAATTAACTTCCTTATAAAAACATGGGTAACGTTTACATTTGTATCAGAAGCACCGGATTTTCCTCAGCCTTAAGAATTTTTGAGCTGGCTTGTATCCCTGTACTTTCTCAGTACTTTGTTTCACATACCAGTTTCCTTCTTAAGCATCATTTCCCCAAGTAGCCCAGGTTTCCAAACAGCCTTCCCTACTAACCCAGAAAGGCCTAGAAGACACGCCACTCGCCATGGCAAGTAATTCTCCAGCTGTGCAGCTCACTGTGTAAAAGGGAGTCTGTGGCCCTAAAGCAGGGTATGAGTGAAGCCACGCCTCCCTCTGCCTGACAGTGACCAGGTCTGCTGGATTTGCAGCATGGTGGGAACACGAAAACGCTAGCAGCGGGTCCTCTTTGAAGTGGTATTTGATAAACCTATGTACAAACATACTTCTATATACCAGTTTATTAAGTAAGGCTTGTGACAACATTCTAAGTACTGCATTTGATTATAACATTGAAGTTATTCTCAGCGAACATAAAGGCCCTTCCCTTTATTGGTGTAAAAAAAAAGATACGTATAGAAGCTTGTGCTGTGTAACATAAGATAGAGCGTGGTTTTCTTACCCCTGAGGTAACAAAGAAGGATGTCAGCACCTCAGTTTTGTCCTGTTCTGGATGTTATGGTTTCCCAGCGGCTTGTATTTGGTACCTTTCCTCGGCTGTGAGACTGGGCAGGAAGGCTTTACAGATGTCCAGCTGCAGCCGGGAGGCTTGGCCAAGGCCCCGAGTCCCCTTCCCTGTGGCATGCTGCCGTGGGAATGGCAGAGGTACTCTCTGGACATCAGTCATGTTTTATGCGCCCTCCTATGGAGCTTTGACAGTAATTGTTAATCTTGTGCCATTCATAGCAGTAAAAGCTTACATACTGGTGGAAACTGTTCTTCAAAATGAAACTGAAAACATTGGTGTTATGACGAACATTCCCATGATACAAATATGTACAATAAGTGCCCTCTTATAATTCAATGAACTTTTAGGAAGGCAAGTCAAAGATAAACCAAGAAAAATAAGATCAAGCAAGTTACGCTGTGTAATTAGCGTATGTCAACATCAAAGGTATTTTTTAATGGAGAGATGTGTGTCACATTACCATTTGCAGGTGTTTGTTTCTCTGTAGACCATATCCTTCCGCAATTTGCATTTGATATTTTTCAAAAATACAAATGATGTATGTTATAGTGTTATACAGCCTTTGATATTATTTTAAGATTTTCTTCCTGTATCCTTAAATAAGATTTGATTCTCTTTTTTCTCACATTTTAAAGTAAATATTGGAGTTTCTCAGTTAATTTCTAAAGTACCTATTTTGTGGCAAACATGTATGGAGACACACTGTCATGAGCAAGCGGTTGTGTTGGGAGCTCGTTAAGTGCCATAAACTTGTCTCTGACATGGTGAACGGTTTACTTCTAGGGAATGAAGAGTAGTTTTCATAAAAGAAACAAGTAATAAATTCCACTTCTAAGCCATATGCCATAATAGCTATATTTTTAACTGTCACTGTAGAGTTAAATGTTTTAATTGCCAGTTTTTTAAATTTACAAACACTCAGGGTATATGTACTATATAGTCTGACATGTCTTTTTAAGATTCCTGGAATAATACAGCTAAAGGTTTTGTGGATTTGGATATTTATTCCAAAATACCCATAGTGCTGTGGGCAGAATCTTTAATGTACTACCTGCGGGAAAATTCTGGATTTAACAGATCCGTAATCCAGATTTAGAAACAGAAGCTTAATAAATTAGAAAAAGGCTGTTTCCTTTTTTCTGTAATGCTTTAGGCATGAAAAAAACTGGGTTCAGTAGACAGAGGTGGAGAAAATTGGTAAAAGTTGCCCTTCCCTATTTTATCTACAAAGTAATTCATGTGATGCACAGTCCCTAGAATTTAATGTTAATATTTAGATAGTGTTAATATAGTGAAATTGTTCTTAGCTTTGCTGTGGTATTCACCTTGGGTATTTTTTTTTTTTTTAATGATGATAGGTTCACGTAAAGAATCTGCTCCACAAGTTTTGCTTCCAGAAGAAGAAAAAATTATAGTTGAAGAAACAAAAAGCAATGGTCAGACAGTGATAGAAGAAAAGTAAGATGTATTCCAGTATTAAAATGCAGGCATGTGGGTGTGTGTGGAAGGGGGTGGTTTGTGGAGGGCATGGGTGTGTGTGTGTGTGTGTGTGTGTGTGTGTGTGTGTGTAGGGGTGGGGGCATGGGTGTGTGTGTGTGTGGAGAGGTGGGGGCATGGGGGTGTGTGTGTGTGTAGGGGTGGGGGCATGGGTGTGTGTGTGTGTGTGTGTAGGGGTGGGGGCATGGGTGTGTGTGTGTGTGTGTGTAGGGGTGGGGGCATGGGTGTGTGTGTATGTGTGTGGAGAGGTGGGGGCATGGGGGTGTGTGTGTGTGGAGAGGTGGGGGCATGGGTGTGTGTGTGTGTGTGGAGAGGTGGGGGCATGGGTGTGTGTGTGTGTGTGTGTAGGGGTGGGGGCATGGGTGTGTGTGTGTGTGTGGAGAGGTGGGGGCATGGGTGTGTGTGTATGTGTGTGGAGAGGTGGGGGCATGGGGGTGTGTGTGTGTGTGGAGAGGTGGGGGCATGAGGGCGTGTGTGTATAAGGGTGGGGGCATGAGTGTGTGTGTGGAGGGGTGGGGGGCATGAGAGGTTGTGTGTGTGGAGGGGTGGGGGCATGGGAGGGTGTGTGGAGGGGTAGGGGCATGGGAGGGTATGTGTGTGGAGGGCTGGGGGCATGAGAGGGTGTGTGTGTGGAGGATGAGGGGGAGGGAGGAGGGGAGCATTGGAGTCAGAAAAATTCCAGGAGGGTTGGGGTGTGGCTTCAGAAACTACTACTTTGTGTCCTCGTAGGTGGGAGTTGACATTGACTAGGCTCTACCTGCCCAGAGAAAGAGGCTGATTGTTCTGAAGTGTATGAATTTAGGTGTTTAGAGAGGAGGGTAGAGCAGCCCTGTTTATTTCGTCTGGCATGTTATAAACTGCTTCTCTCTGTCCTCTTCATCCCTTGTCCTTGTTCAGGTGTTCATTCTATTTTCTATTCTAGGAGTCTTGTTGATACCGTCTATGCATTGAAGGATGAAGTCCAAGAATTAAGACAGGTGAGTCATAATCAATTTTTAATCTTTTTTTTTTTCATGGGGGGAAAAGAGGAAAACACTATATTGAAAATGAAGTCGATGTCCTTAAGCAAAATAATACAGAAAGGAGCCCTCTGGAGTGGCTCAGTTGGTTGAGTGTACCATACACCAAAAGGTTGTGGGTTTGATCCCCAGTCGGGGTACATTCAGGAGGCAACCGATCAATGTTTCTCTCTCATGTCAATGTCTGTCTCTCTCTCTCCATTCCTCTCTGTAAGCATGTCCTCATCATTTAAAATATCTAAAACTCCATCTAGTTAAAAGTTTTATTAACTACTTACTGTGACTATTCTCTGCCACTTTGTAGTGTAACATATGGTCTTTGTTCCAAGGAAACCAAAACAACAAGTCAGTTAGACAAAGTATATAAGTATGTATATGGTTTTGGGGGGACATAGGGTATTCCCAAAAATGTATACAAACTTTAATAGCTGATAACTCAATTTTCACTCCTTTTCAAATTTAACTAATTTGAAATAATAGGTCAGCGGTTCTCAACCTATGGGTCGCGACCCCTTTGGGGGTTGAACGACCCTTTCACAGGGGTCGCCTAAGACCATCAGAAAACACATATATAATTACATATTGTTTTTGTGATTAATCACTATGTTTTAATTATGTTCAGTTTGTAACAATGAAAATACATCCTGCATATCAGATATTTACATTACGATTCATAACAGTAGCAAAATTACAGTTATGAAGTAGCAACCAAAATAATTGTATGGTTGGGGGTCATCACAACATGAGGAACTGTATTGAAGGGTCACGGCATTAGGAAGGCTGAGAACCACTGTAAGCCAGACTAAGCTTTGAACAAAAGAAAATTTATCCAGTAGACTTTTTTACAGGGATACATAAAAGATAAAGTTTACAGTACAAACCCAGCAACAGTTAGCGGATTGCGGGTGCACAAATACGGAACGAAATGATTTTTGATGTTTGCGATTCTATTGCTTCACGTTATCAGCAGTGCCTGCACCAGAACGGCATTGACAAAAAAAAAAAAGTTATTCATTTCTGTAGCTTTTTTAAAATATTGAAAATGAACTCTTAATAAACACTGACTTTGTAATCATTCAAAGTGTGTATACACATTTTGGGTCACCCTATGTATTATTTGTACAAATGGCTTTGGTCTCAGGAGGGAGCGGTAAGTGTTGCTTCACAGGCCGGAGCTCGGGAGAAGCGCAGCTCAGCATGGTCTGGGCTGGGACGGGACACTGCTCTGAGCTGCCTCTCAGCCATCCCAGCAGCATCCCTGCAGCTTCCAAATACTTGTCTTCCTCTGAGGGGCTTCCAGGTTTGTGCTGTCCCCTTGGCAAGGGATGCATCTTTGTGTGTGCACCTTCTCCATGCGGAGGAATGATTAGGTGCAAACTGTACGGGAGTAGGTGCTTAGTCACTCACTCTGTATTCATTCAGCTGCTGTTACTTCCATCCCGACATAACTGTAAGATCTTTACAGGTGTGAAAGGAGCAGGGGGGTGGGGAGTGTGCAAGTTGTTCCTTTTGCTATTTCCAGCCATGTTCTTAAGGTATGTTGTACAGCGATTCTCCCCTTCAGTAATCGGAACTTAAATTGTCAGTGACATTAGAACTGTTTTTCCATCTGTGATTGGTCTTGGTCCCAGGAGCAACTGTGCGATAAGGAGCCGCGAGTGTCTGTTGAGGCATGTGGGCAGTCTTGTCGAATACACCCATGCCCACAGCACAGGGCACATTGCAGCACACAGTTTCAATTGGCAAGACCCCAGCCCTCCTGGGGGAAGGAAGTCCTCTCCAGGGCCCAACACACTGACTATCCTGTCTGCTTTGTTGACAGGATAACAAGAAGATGAAGAAATCTCTGGAGGAAGAACAGCGAGCCCGCAAAGACTTGGAAAAGCTGGTGAGGAAAGTTTTAAAGAACATGAATGACCCTTCCTGGGACGAGACCAACCTCTAAGGAACGTCCATGGTTCTTTCTTGAAGACCAGTTAGGAGACTATGCTGGGACCCTGGGGCAGGGCTGTGCATACAAAAGCTGGAGTCCAGGCAAATAGAAACACATTGTTCCTGAAGAGTCCAGACATGAGGTATCGACACTGAGGGCAACTGCATTAATCTTACTCTGCTAACATCTCAATTACCTCATTTTGCAATAAGTGCAGTGACTGACTACAAACCCTGGTCTTTCAGGCTTTTATTGAATCTATATAAATATTATACATACATGTTTCGTGTAAATATCCTGTTTTGAATGCATATACCTGATTGTTATATCTGATACCCCTGCTAGAACTTCCTTCCCACTAACCTTTCTGGTCCCATGACCTAGAAGTTGTGTTCACACACACACGCATGGAAAGCAGAAACGCGTGGCTGTGGTAGATGCCTGACTTCGCCGCCGCTGTGGTTTCTATAGTGCTCTGAAAATACTTCCCATGTTGGTTGCCTACCTAATTTAACCTTATTTATAGCTGCAGAGACAACTTGAATACCATTTGAAAGTCTTCTGTTAAAGCAGTATTGCAGTCACCGGCGTGGGGGTCTCTGAGTGCCGTGCTCTGGCTGAGTGAGGGTCTGGGCCTCAGCCATGAATCTGAGGAAGTCCCACTCACGCCACCGCGTCCAGCTGCAGGTGCACCCTCTCGTCTGCTTTGAGTGGATCTGTGGTCACCAGAGTATCCACTGCACTTGGAGAGGTCATACAGACTTGTATATGTAGGCTAGTTCAATAATGTGACCGAGTGTACTGCTTTGTCCTCAAAAGAGAGCGCTTCACTAGAGTCTGTAAATAGAATGTGTTGTTACACATCACTGCGGCCGGGAAGATGAAGCGAGGTGGTGCTATGGGTAGGATTCCTGTGTCAGCCAGCGTCAACCCTGAGCTCTGCTTTACCGTCAGGGCAGCAAGCATTACTGCAGAGCTCACTGGGAAAGAAGAATAAGCAATATCCACCTTAAATCCCACCTAAATAATGAAAGTTTAAATGTGGGTCCATTCCCTCCCTATATGCAAATTGCAGAGCAGACAAAGGAGGAAGTGGGCCCCAACCTGGCTCCGCAGCCCCTGGGCCAGGGCTCTAGAAGCCTCGCAGCCGGCAGGAACAGCCTTGGAGCCTAGCTTGTCCTGCCGTGGAGATAGGATCGGCAATATCACAGGGTCTGTGCTTTCCGTTTCCCTCTTCTAAGAGGTTGTTTTAGTGAGATGACTTCTTCATAGAACAAGTGTTACATTGTTAAGAAGCAGAATTGCAGCACTGTGCATTAGAGACCGCTCAGAAACACCTTTTTGGCCTCAGATGTGACCTTTGATTTGCAACCTATTTATTGGTCAAGTGACCCCTTAATCTTTGATGCCTATGGACTGGGCATCTTTGGAACTAGTTGGTTTTCTGGTTGTCCATGGTTCTGTTTCCATGCCCTTGCTGATTAGACCCTGTGCCCGCCCATCTCCCTGGGGGGTGGTCCTGGAGCCGGCCCTCCCGCTGCAAGCTCAGCAGGTGTGTGGGGCCCAGCATTGACCTGCCCACACTTGACCTTTCAACTAGAATTGCCAACTTTCTCTACTTAGCATTCATGAGTGCTAGGACTAGAAAATAGTGTCATTTTTTTTTTTACAGTAGTATTTTTTTGGTGATGCATAAGACATTGCGGTGAAAAACAATTACATTTGAGTGTACTGAAGTTTGCTGTCTTAAGCAAATTTTAACTCAGGAACAACATTCAGCACCTGATCCCTCCACCACTTAGTGATGAGCGATGTTGCAGCCAGCAGATGGGTCTCCTACAGCACCTGCCTTAACTGTTGCTAAAGCGACAAGTGAGAACTTGTGTTTTCCTGCCCCTCCCCTTGCCCCGGCGGGGTGATGGTTGAGGTGCCCGTGTAATGCATTACCTTTCTTCCCCAGGATCCAGTATTTTACTAAACTTTTTAGGGAGCAGAGAAAATGCATCATAGCAATTCTACAGACCTGCCCTCTTCTAAACAGACTGCACGCGTCTCTCCGGGTGACTCCTGAGAGGTTGGGAGTGGGTGATGATGGTAGAAAGGCGCGCTGTTGACTCTAAGGGTTACTTCTCTGCTCTCACCTTTCTTGGATGAGGAGACGAAGCCATTCCTGTCCTGAGATGTGAAGCACTTTTATTTCCACACGACACTGACGTGTGGCATCGGAAGCTCTGCCCACTGTGCTCTGCAGAGTGTGCCTGTCCACGTGCGCCAGGGCCCGGGCCCCGGAGACCTCCGGCTCTGGCGGACTCCTGCTGTCCTCCACTTCTTTCTCCAGGACGCAGAGGCCGCGTTTACAGCCCTGGGGACACCGCGCAAATGCCACCGACTGTCTGGCGCTGACTACTCATACTATGTTGTTGTAATGATTAAACTGATTATTTTTTCTTATGTTACAAAGATGTCACTTTATTTTCGAGGATGTGTTTGTGTGTGTGTGTAAAGTTACATTTACACTTTATTTTGACTTTTATATTTTTTAATTCTGGGGTGAGTTTTGGACACTGGAAAATATCAGTTTGCCTTTAAAATCTAGGGTTTGGGAGTATTTGAAGATACAAGATTAGGCAATGGAACTGACACTGTTAGGTACGGCCTCCACTCATCCTGGGAGATGCTCTAAACCAGTGGTTCTCAACCTTGGCTGCACATTAGAATCACCTGGGAATCTTTTTAAAATCCTGATTTCTGGACCTCATCCTCTGGAAATTCTGTTTCTTTGTTGTGGGGTGGGGCCGCAACATTAGTGACAAAGAAACAGAATTTCCAGAGGATGAGGCCCAGAAATCAGGATTTTAAAAAGATTCCCAGATGATTCTAATGTGCAGCCAAGGTTGAGAACCACTGCTCTAAGCCATGTTGGGGGGTTGAACAAGTGACATCATTTTTCAAGATTTCTGTGAGGCCCTTGCAGGAAGGGCCTGACAGCAGAAAGTTACTTGTCCGTTACAAGCCTTGCTCTTTCCCGACACTCTCCACGCAGGGCCTCCCTGGCCAGCTAAGAGGGCTGGGAAACAGGGAAGAAAACAGCACTGGCAAGCTGGGAGTGTAGGAAGTTCTTCCCTCCCACCCTGAGTGTGACCTCATCCTGACCTGATTGTGTCTGCAAAGACCCTATTTCCACATAAGGTCATGAGCACAGGTCCTGGGGATCAGGACTTCAACAGATCTTTTTTTGTGGGGGACACACACGATTCAGCTTGTAACAGTAGGGAAAGTGGACTCACTCACCTCTCAAGTGAGCCTGAGGCCGACGGTTGCTACAGGTGGTCATTTAAACCCCATTATGGTGTAACGAATAAAGGTTGTAAGGGACCCCAAGGGTACTTCTATTTCAGAAAACCCACAGCAACGCCTACATTTTTCCATGGGAGGACGGCACAGCCCACAACAGCAAATGTTCTGCTTCTAGCTGAAATGAGGTGGGTAAATGCAGTCGCTGGTTATCATGGGAATAGGACTCCAGGCTAATACAGGAAGAGACGAGGCCCCGCCACACTGGCTCCCCCTCCTGTGGACTGTAAACCCCGTCCCCAGGGGCCTGGCCGCTGGTCAGAGTGGACAGCGGCTTCAGGCAGTACTGGCCGTCACCCTGCCAGGCCTGGGGCGGGGTGTCTCCCCAAACAGTGGTGTTCTGCAGGTCTTGGCCTCCAGGTGGGGTTATGAAGTGGCATCTCCTTGTCCTGTGGCCCCTGTGGATCCTGCTGGTGGAGGGGGAGGCACCTTTTCCTTTTCTCTCAGGCCCCTGCAGCGGCCTCTCCCCCTCCCCCCAGGCTGCCTGCCCTCGTGCCTGGGCAAGCCCCCTAGCTGCCATGTCTGTCTTCACTTGAATAAACCCTTTGGCAACTCAGGGTCACTCTTGCCTCTTTCTGGAAGCCTGTTCTGAGCATCGGCCTCCCACCCGAGGGCTTTCTCAGCTCCCGTGCGAAGCCCAGCCTTAAATGACCACACTTGACTCACTGTTTCCATGAACTCCCGAAGTTTGCTGAGACATGAACCTGAACATGAGCCGGGGTTTGTGTTGGCTGGAGGTTCAAATTCCCAGGAGGGGAACCCCACTGCCTCCGTTTGGGAACCTGAGAGGGTGCAGCCACTGGGATGGTTGGACAGTAAGAGAGGCTGGGTAATTTCTCCTCCTCCCTCTGCAGCTGCTCCCACGAGTCCTTCCTCTCTTGTCCTCACGTCTCCTCGCCCCAGCAGCCTGGCCAATGCCACAGCCAGCCAGCAGCCAGGCCTGCTCCCCGGGGGCTGCCACTCCTGACGACACTCCCTGCCGCGCTGTCTCACCACCCTTGGTGCAGGACCATGTGTTCTTCCCGAAGGTGAACGCTTTTTTCTCCCGTCTCAATACCACGCCACCTGTGCCTCCCACCACCTGGACTCCTAGCCGCGTCTTCCAATTTGCAGGCTCTGTCCCCGCCAGCCCAGGTGCCCCTCCAGCGCAGGCTCCACTGGGTGCTCCCCACATGCTGATGGCACTCGGATTCAGCTGCCCACTGCGCATGCCTCCCCCCCCCTCCCCCCCCCAGGACCACAGCCCCAACTGGACACACAGACGCAGCCTCTGCTCGGCCGCGCCACCTGACTTCTCATGCCCATCTTCCATGTGGCGGCCACCTTCCAGCCTCCCAGGCAGAATCCTTGGGCTCATCACAGACCTGTTCCCGCTCACAGATCGGTCAGCCCATCTCATGGACTCTAAAATGACACAAAAAAACATTCAACCAGTGACTCCCGGTCCCACCCTTATTTTTCTCCCAGATTATTACATCGTTCCCCATGTTTACTCTTGCCTCCTTACTATTTTCAGCACAGCCTGAGAGATGTAATCCAGTTTCCCACCTGCGCAGAATCCAGACCTAGCGCCATTTCCCTTAGTGAAGGCTGAAGCTCGAATAGTAACCTACACCCTTGCTTGTGATTCAGTCTCAGTGCCATCTCTGTCTTCAATCAAACCGCCCTGGCTCCCGGGTTCTCAGCTTCACGAGGCCTGCCTCACCCCAGGGCCTTTGCACCTGCTCCTTTCAGACTTGCATGAGCTTCCTGGACGCCCACATAGTGCTTCCCCTTCTAAACCTGCTCAGATGCCGTCAAATTCAGAGGCCGCCTGCTCACCATGACATGGCCTTGTTGGTGTGCTCTGCTTTCCTGTTCTCACAGCGCGTGTCTGACCTGCATGTCTGTGCTGTCTCCCTCCATGGAATTCGCTCCCTGAGGGTGGGCACTTTTGTCTGTTTCGCTCATGGTTGTGTCCCAGCAGTGCCAGCAGAAGTGGGCTCTCTAAGAAGGAGACCATGGAGTGAGGACGGGAGTGGCAGGACTCAAACACTGGTTCCGAAGCGGGGCCTGGTTTCCCATAGGAATAGGGGTGGGTGTCCCATAGGAACAGGCTGACTAGGGTCTGGAGGAGGGCCAGGTGTTTATTTTTGTTGTTGTTTATTTTTAATGTATTTTCATTGATTTCAGAGGAGAAGGGAGAGGGTGAGAGAGATAGAAGCATCACTGATGAGAGGGAATCACTGATCAGCTGTATCCTGCACTCCCCCCCCCCCCCCCAACTGGGGATCAAACCCACAACCCAGGCAGATGCCCTGACCGGGAATCAAACTGTGACCTCCTGGTTCATAGTTTGACATTCAACCACTGAGCCACATCGGCTGGGCTGAAGGCAGGGTTTTTGATGCCATGCCTGCCCCCCTTAAGGCTCTCCCACCCTCCTCGGCACTGTGAGCATCCTGTTTGCCCTATAGTGGCCAGCGTCACAGTCCTGCCATCTGTGTGGTGTCACAGGGCTCTGTGACATCACAGCAGGTGGGGTGGCCCAGCCACTCACTCTACACTCTGCTCATCAGTGGCAGCAGGAGGGAGGAGGTGGCCAGCTTCCTGTTTGATTCTGAAGTCTGCTTGGAGTGTAACTGGGAGACCTGTGGCTGGGGGCTCAGCTGGGGACATGACGGACTGGTGAGACCAGACTCACGCAGCCTGGCTGCCTCAAGGTCTGGCTTGTGCTAATTTCTCTCTTTCCCAGGTTCCCTTGAGCCCTCACCCGTCCTTCAACTGCCACAATGAGATATATGCCAGAACTCAAAAAGTCCCACCCGCATTTCCTGAGGAGTTTTGCAGGTAAGGAGAAGGGAACCTTCAAGGAGCCTATTTCAACCCAAGGTGTAGATGACTAGCACCAGGCTGAGAAGGGAAGGCAAAGAAACTTGTTTTTTTTTTAAAATAATGTAGGAAAATACTGTGAAGTCTTCATTTTTTAAAAATTTCATTGCAAAAAACCCCAAACCTGAGGTTTTCAGCATAAGAAATATTTTTAACTATTTCACAAGGGGTTAGAGGATTAAAGATGTTTTCATATGACATGCCAAACATATACTTCAGCTACTTCATAACTTTTATGGCAAGAGTGATTTTTTTTTTTTTAAAGAAAAAATATTTCTTAACAGTTAAGTTCACCTTTCCCCGTGCCCATCCTGGGTGCCCAGGGTGCAAAGTTGGACACTGGTGCCTGGGTGTTGAAGGAAACTGTGTAAATGTGGCTTTCTCCAGGGCACGTGGTTAGCGTGTATATATAGTGTGGTTGCAGTCGCTTAAAACCACATGGAGGAAATTTCTAGAAGTGAGACCACTGGAGCTTGAGGGAGAAGAGGGACGTGTCACCTACGTTTTTCTTCATGCACAACTATAGTAATGAACAAAAAGAAAAGCAGAAGGAAAGGCAATTTGGTTTTCCTCTTTAGTTTTTGTTTGTTGGCTTGGCAAAGGGACTGACCAGGGAGGTTCCCGGGGTGGCCAGGGCTGGAGACATGAGACCCTGCTATGCGGTGACTGTGAAGAAATACACTGAGACATCCCGGGAGGTCCCAGCAAGCGAAACAGTGCTGGAGAGGGTGCGGGAGGGGCAGGGAGACCCACGGGGGTCCCAGATGCAATGGGGAGACAGCTGCCACGAAGCTGGGGGTGGGGGACCAGCGGCTGTTCCAAAACAGTCCATCAAGGCAGCCAAATGGGAAATCGGTGCCAAGACTGTCTCACCTGTGTGATGATATTAAAGAGAACAGTCAGACCTGGCGGCTGAGGCTCAGTCGGCTGAGCAATGTCCCAGGCCGAGGGGACAATGCATATTTTCTCGCCCATGTGTCTGCTGCAGTAAACACCCACTGTCACCTGGAGCAGGTCTGGGAACCCATGGCCATGGGGGGAGGTGGGGATAGAGGCGTGAGGTGGGGTTGGAGGCGTGAGGTGGGGACGGAGGCGTGGTGGAGATAGGTCCCAGCTCTGCCCGCTAGCTGTGTAGCCTTGAGTCTCGGGATCTTTCTGGATGAGGTTGAGGACTGTCAGCAGCAGCCGGCCGTCTGACCTCTGTGGGGGCCACAGGCTGGCATGGCATGGTGGCGCTCCCCTTGCTGTGACCCTGAGACCATCATGACCGCCCTGAGGGCCTTCGGTGGGCTCCCTGCAGCCCAGACCACACTGGGAGCAAAGCCCAGCACAGCTCCCCATCCACTAACCTGACAGCCTCTCTGCAGAGCGACTGAGAGCTCAGTGACCACAGGACCCCTGGGGAGCCAGCATGCCACGGCCTCCTGGACCAGCCTAGGAGCCCCTCTAGTCCAGCTGTGCCAAGGACAGGCCCCTCTGCCCCTCCCGGTCACTGGCGACCAGGACCCAGCTTTAGGAGAGAGCCGGGATGTCTCACATCCTCCAACTCTGCCGGAGTCCATCTGTGGGCTCTGAGGGCTGCAGTGGCATTCAGAGGCCATCACTGTTCCATTACATCCCTGGCGGGCGTGGGCAGCCATGGCGACAGAATTTGTCACACCCGGAGTCGGGGGTGTCTAGGGAAGGAGAGGGAAAAGCATGAGAGACAGCGGTTTCTCTGGAACCCTTTAGTCTGAAAGTCTAAATCAGTGGTCAGCAAACTGCGGCCCCTTGAGTGTGGCTCTTCCACAAAATGCCACGTGTGGGCGCGCACGTACAGCGCGATTGAAACTTCCTGGCCACACTCAAGGGGCCAAAGAGCCGCATGTGGCTCGCTAGCCACAGTTTGCCTACCACTGGTCTAAATGAACCCTAGGAAAATTCATCAGAGAGTCAGGAGGTGGGCGGGCTCCCCACTTCCCCTCCCCCTAGTGACAGATACCCCCAGGGTCAGGCAGAGGCTGCTGCTGCCAGTTAGGGAACCACAGGTCCTCAAAGCTGAAGGTGCATCGGTTGGGCAGCTGAGCTCTGCTGAAGCGGCCACTTATCCCCTGCGGTGTATGGCACATTCATTATCTTTTTTTCTCTTTTTGGTCAAAACTGGCATTAAACTTTGTCCTTTTGATTCAACTTTTAAATTCTGAACTAATGCTCAGCCCATAGTGATCATTTTAATTCACTGTCTGCTTACAAGTGAATTAATTACACATTATAACCTGAACTCCCGAATATCCATTGTGTGAGGTCTTTGTTCCCCGCTTTCTTTGTAGAGCTAGAGCGCCGAGCCTGGCGAGGCGAGCGCTCCACTCCTCGGAGATGTATTATCTCCTTCATCATTAGAGGCCCCTGCATTATTCTGTGTCATTAACTTGGCATTATTTTGTTCAGCTCCCCATATATTCCAGATCTTAGTTTCAAAGTGAGATTTCTATGATGCATAATTAAAAACCCACCACATGCACCCCCGAGTTTCCCTGCCAAGCCCAGTGGTGTTGAGAATGACGGGGGTGGCTGTGTCTGGGGCGATAGCGGGTCTGTGTCTGCTCTGCAGTGTGCGACATTCCTCTGGACCACATATGCAGCCACGACATCAGCAGAGATCAGTGCAAGGGACTCGGGCGCTGCTTTCACAGAGGTGTCTGCAATGAAAAGTCAGTTTCCAGTAAGTATCCGGGCCGGGCCCACCCAGGTGGACAAAGCCATGGAGTCCCAGGGCAGGCCTGCCTTCCCTCCCGGGTCTCTGTCCCTGGACAGGCCTCTCGCATCGTCCTGGTCACATCTCTGCAGTAGTGGGAGCAGAGGGCTGTGAGGGTCTGGGACTGGGACTGAGGCAACCTGGGAAAGTCCCCTCCCAGATGGGTAGACTTGCTGTGGAAGAAGACTGACCGAGAGCCTCCTTCCTCGGTCATTCTGGGGGTGTAACTGCTGGAGGTGGGGACTCAGTACTACAAAAGCACCTGGTTGGGGGCGGGGCTGGCTGCTGACCATGCGAAAGGCAAGACCTGACCAGGCGGGAGCTGTAGATTGTAGCTGGGACCCTGAGGATGACTGAGGACCCCTATGCTGGGGAGAGTGGGAGGGGCTGGGGGAAGTTTCTTCGGTTTCATCCTAATCAGAATAAAACCACAGCCCTGGCACTAAGATCTGCTCCCGGGCCACTGCAGTCTGGGCTGTGCCTGGGGAGGTAGGGCCTGCAGGGACTCCCGGGGTGGGGGCTGTGGGATCTGAGGAGAGCGCCATCCTCACTCAGAACAGGGCTGCTTCCTGCCAGCCCACCAGGGGAGGCTCTGGGTGAGCCCGTGCTCAGAGGGTGGGGTGTGGGGTGGGGGGGGTGGGGGGTTGGAGGGGTGGGGGGTGGGGGAGTGGGAGGATGGGGGGGGGGTGCAGCGGAGGATATAAACTAGATGCCTGGCCCAGAAGGGAAGCTGCTTTAAATATCCTTTCTGTATATTTTCTCACACTTTAGAGAAATTCCAGAGGTCTTTGTGCCTCTTGATGGTTGATGGGTTTTCTTGCCCTTGTGGCCCTTTCAGAAATGAGGGTGAATGGGCTCCAGGACTGTTTGGAAGGAGATTAAACAAGTCGGTGGGCCAGGGCAGCCTACATAAGCCCTCACCACAGAGGAGGAAAGTGCCCACAGATATGAAAAGCTGGCCGCTGGCCGGGACACTCAACAGCTCTGATGCCCCTCCCTGTCCTAGGCTGCTCTCCTGTCCTCACCCCCCGAAGTGGACACAGGTGCCCTTGTGCTGTGGCTTGGGAGGATCTCTTCTTTTCTCTTCTTTCTCCTCTGAGTCCAGTTCAACTGAGCCCCTCAGAGGCAAGACAACGTGTCTGCCTTCTCATCCCAGGACACAGTCAGACTTAGGAAGTCAGAAACACTGGTGACCCATGAGTGTTACCAACTCTTGGCCCACAGGGCTGCCTGGTCCCATGACCCACAACTCTAAGCCAGCTCTTTTAAGAAGTAAGTGATATTCTGGATAAAATGACTCAAGAAGCTAATGTATTGGCAGGATCTTGGCTCACCCAAAGGGAGAGCATCTGTCTAAATGGTAAAGATTTGGCACTTAGGGCAAAAGAAAGGGACATTTGGCTTCTCAAAAAGTGGCAGATAATTTTGAAACCCCGGTGGCAGACCCGGCCGGCAGCGTGGCAGTTTCCATGGAGGACCTTTTGAGTCGGAGCAACGAGGACTGCGGGCGGGAGCAGCAGGCACCTGGGGCCAAGCCTTGCCACCCCGCGACCATGACCAACGTGGCTAAGACAGTGCACACCCTGCAGCCCCCCTCCGTGCTGAGTGGCAGCCCGCTCGCCGACACACAAACTCGAGCCACTTCTAAGAGCTTATTACCTGTGAAGTCTAAAGAAGTCGATGCTTCCAGATCTCTTCATCCAGGAGTTTCAGAAAATGATGTAATGAAAGGCAGGGGAAAGCTGCAGATATTGCCATCAAGAGGAACATCAAAAAGAGCTACAGGCCATTGAGTAAGCAGAAGTCAGAGGAAGAGCTCAAGGATAAGAACCAGATCTTAGAGGCTGTCAACAAGCAGTTACACCAGAAGTTGACTGAAACTCAGGGAAAACTGAAGGACCTGACTGAAAAGGTGGAGCTGCTGCAGAAGTTTCAGGACAACAGTTTGGTGATTTGGGAGAGCAAGGCCTCAACCCAGACAGTAAAACCCTGGAATCACAGCAAGAATCCAACCCGGATCACATGGACTCGATGTTGCTGTTAGAAACTTTGCAAGATGAATTGAAGCTTTTTAACCAAACAGCAAAAAAGCAGATGGAGGAGTTACAGGCCTTAAAAGTAAAGTTGAAGATGAAAGAAGAAGAGAGGGCCCGGTTCCTAGAGCAGCAGACCCTATGTAACAGCCAAGTAAATGATTTCACAGCAGCCCTTGAGGAAATGGAGCAGCTATTAGAAATGTGACAAAAAGCAAGTGGCCAGATGGCTCTCTCTTGGGGATTAACTTTTGGAGGAAGCCACTAAGGACATCTGCTTCTTGGCTGTGATCTTCACCATTCCAAGAATGAAACCAGTTTGTGCAGTAGGATTAAGGATAGTTAGTGCTGGAATGGCAGTTCTTCCTTTAAGAAAGTGTTCTCACTCGTCAGATTGGCCAGCTCTCTGAACTTCACATGTACATAATTGAGGTCTACAAGAAGGGAATCTGGACGCTTGGATCAACTCCTGGGCAGCAAAGTGACCCACTGTTAGAAACAGGAGACTCAACCAGCCACAGCCAGAGGATCCAAAAGGTCACATTCAGATGTGCAGGAAGAAACCCTGAATCGTACCATGGGGCACAGGTCTCCACAGGAAACGCCACTGAGGAGCCATGCAGGCCCTCTAATTTGGACACATGGGAACTTAAAGTCACTTGAAATGGCTTAATAAATGGGGTGAAGGTATAGATAGCAATAACACCAAATGAAACAATACACTTTGGAGCTTTTAATCTAAATCACTTCTGTGTTTTTTATATGTATATATATAAAGTGCTAATTTTAAAATAAATATTTCTGTAACTTCAGATTGCAAAAAACAAAAAAGTGGCAGATGAGAGGCCACAATGAATGCCATTTACAGCTGGGAGGGTTTTCTGACGACAATTTTTCTTTAGATCTTGAATTAGATAACTTGGGAACACATCTCCTTATTAATCCTGCCCTCTACCTTCGGGAGATTCCAGCATCCCTAATGTTATTGTAAATGGAATTGTCTTCTTAATTCTACTTTCAAATTGTACATAGAATCCTCGATATGTACCCAAGAGAACTGAAAGGTTGCTAGTATATAGAACTACAATTTTGTGTATTTGTCTTGTATCCTTAACCTTCTTCAACTCATTTATTAATGGCTTGCTTAGGATTTTCTACATGTAAAATCATACCATCTGCCTATGAGATAGTTTTACTTCTTTCTTTCTAATATAGATGGTTTTATTTAATTTTCTTGTCTAGTTGCCCTGGCTAGAACCTCCAGTACAATGGTGAATAGAGGCAGTGAGAATGGACATCTTCATCTTATTTCTGATTTTAGGGGCAAATTTCCAGTGTTTCACCTTTAAGTGCGATGGCAGCTATGAGTTGAGGAAGTTCTTTTCTGTTCCTAGTTTCTTAAGTGTTTTTTTTATCAAAGAATATTGGACTTTATCAAATTATTACCCATGTGGACTTGTTATTGTCCAGTATCTTTCCCTTTTATCCCGAAGGACTCCCTTTTATATTTCTTGTAAGGCATTTATGGTGATGTCACCCTGAAAGTTACTTCTGAGCTGCAATGAATCTCTAGTTGTACATAATCAGGCAGTGAATTTGAACAAGACATAGTGCTTTTCCTTAAAGGAGTTCATTATCTTCCACCTACCTCATCCTAAAACCCACAGCCTTAGCCAGAATCTTATTTGAGAAATCTTTTTGAGTCCTGGGTCTTCCAATGTTGAACGGCCTATTGTATTATATTCCAACAGCCCACTCCCTGGAGTATGCGACAGGTACTCCTGAGCTGGGTTCACGGCACTGGCTGGTGATTTGGCCATAATTTGCTGCTTTGGGCACTTATCATCTTTCTGTTTCTGTTTTGTGTATTGGTGGGTTCACACACACACACACACACACACACACACACACACACACACCCCTATTTGGAGAGGAGCAGATGATTACATTCAGCTCACTTCATTTCCATCACAGGGTTTCCCTTCTTAGAGGACTCCAGTATCCTAGGCATTTATGCAACTTAGTTTTTCTGGGACTTTTACCTTTTGGGGGTCCTAAAAGCAGGAAACATTCACATCCAAAGGGCATTTGGGTTTGTTCTTTCAACCTTTTACATATAAAGATGCAGAAGACATTCAATTCCCAGGTCAAGTCACAGAACTGGACACCATCTTCGGCCATTAACGATGCCAATTTTCTCGTCTCCCAGAGAAACAGAGACAACAGCAGGAAGTGGTGAAACAGAGCATCCAGGGGAGACTGCAGCCGGCAAGGGAGCGCAATCCAAGCTGCTGCTGCTTTCCCCACCGGTCCCTCCCCGAGCATCTTCTCATCGGGATTTTCCGTGGGAGTTGGCCATTTTGTAAACGTTAGCATGTATCACAAACATTGTTTAAATTAGTGTAATCACCTTATTTATGCCTGTTATTCATTTGAAAAATGAATAACACCTAACAGCACCTTCATTATTGGTGTCTTTACGGACTCCTCTCCGCCCACCCCCATGAGCTCTCAGGAATGTTTTCTCCTCGAAGAGAGCTCACGGCTCTGCAAGTGGAATTGTCACTGTTGCATGGAGGCGAGTGCTAATCCTCTCTTCATTCTTTCCATTTCCACAAGTGAGCTGTGTGGGCTGGGCTCTTTCTCGCCTCTGACTTCTTTCACGGTGGCGAGGGTGGGCCACCTGTGGGAAGGGTCTGGGCAGTGAGCCCTGCATTGCGTTCTCACTGAGCCCTCAAATTACTTCTCATTTCTTTGACATCTTACTCACTGAAGACGGCGACGGAACCTTTGTGCTGTGTAAGTTGTAGTATTCGGTGACAGGGTATTATGAGCTCTTTGTGCGTATAATTCCATGTTATGAAAACCTTTCACCAACTTCTTAAATTGGCTGGTTTGAAGTGCTCATTGTGTTACGGCATAATCTGTATGATTAAGAATGTGAACTTGGGGAATTAGCATTAGATCTTTGAGAAACAATCAGGGACTCAGAGAGAGTGACTTGCCTTCACCCTTCAGCCTTGACTTAGGCACATTATGTAACATGTCATGTCTCCCGAGTGTATGACTTCCGTTTCTCCAGGAGACGTGCTGAGCTGATTGCAAAACTTCTGTTTAGTTATATTTGGAGGAGAATTTCTCCAGATACTTCTTAAAGAAAATAATGCTGTCTTTCAGTTGCTGCTATTTCTGAAGGATCATCATGTATGGTTTATTAAAAACCACACATATTGTTTATAACAAATAGTGTGCTGGCCAGACACTGCACAGAGGCTCAGCCTCTGCCTCCAGGAGCTTGACCTCAAGGACCAAAAATACCTGCACGTATAAAGATACAGAAGATGCGCTGATGATTGAATCCTGAAACATTGTCTACATATGTGTCTCTCTCTAACCGGACTTCGCTACCATTAATTCTGAATTTATTTCATGAACCAAGACACAAGATCCCACTAAGGGATACACATTCCCTGGAATTCAAAACTTTGAGGTTTACCTTCTTGTCCCTTAAAAACTTCTCATTTCACGCTTTCAAATACAATGAACTTGATTTGTTCATTTCAATTCGCTTCATTCAGCATCACTGAAAGTGAACCTTCTCTGTGCCTTTTGCTACACCCCTAGGAGAAAGTGCAGTGGGAGTGGAGAGGGGCAGAGAATTTAAACCAACTAATGCTCCTATGCAGGGGAACACAGAATAGAGGCCACCCCCTACGAGTCACTTTGAAGGCCCTGATTCTTCCGTTTTGAGAAGATGGAAGCAATTGAGGACAGTGAAAACCCTTGTTAGTACAGAAAAACTCCGTCAATATAACTTGAAATCAGACCAACGGAATTTAACATCCAAAAAGCATCTTTGGAATCACTTTCAGGGAGTTGGGGTCAGGATGAGGTGCCAGATGGCAGGAGGCCCCATGTCGCTGTTTCCTGGGGGACAGACAAGGGACCACCTCTGCAGGCTCCCCTCAGGGGGCAGTCCTCTGTCATCGGGGAGCCAGGCCACCACCCTGAGTCCCTTTCATGTGGAGCCCTCATCTGTCTGGGGGTGACCTTGGTCCCAGGGCAGTGTTTTGGGAGGGGAGTGGCAGTGTTAGTGGAGCGGCCAGTGCTCGGGGGAGCTGGGTGGAGGGCCCAGGCCCACCTCGGGGAGGAGGACTGCCCTGTTGTAATGAACCCAAATCATGGTAAATGGAAATTGTTTTTTCAGTTTATGTGCACGTGTTTTGTGCCTTGATCCTGATCATTGCTGCAGCCTTTATTATCACCATGATTTACAGGTCAGCCATTCTGTTCTTTCAAACTCACACGTAGAACTTTGGTGGGAGAGGAGCAGGCATGCGGGGGGGGAGGGGGGGACTCCCCTCCTCGGCTATTGGGGCCACATGGACCGCCTGTGAGGCCTGAGAGACCTCCTTTTCCCCCAGATCTTGATAATAATACCAGCCAGCCTTTCATATGCACCTATCATTTCACTCCACAGCCCTCCTACGAGGAGCAGGGCGGGGGGGTGGAGGTGGGGGGCCCTGTCTGCAGAGCCCTGGCTCCAGGCTGACCACGCCCCTTCATCCTGTGCTAAAGACCTGTTGGATCCATGCTCTCAGACACAATCTCCCCCTCTAGTTTCCATGGTGACGACATGCACACCCAGCAAGGCTACCTAGGCTGCTTGCTGCCCCCTGGCCGGACTGGAATTCAGCTTTCCCCCTTGGGGGGCCTTGCACCAGCCCGAGATTAGTTGAGGCACTTTGTCCAGCAACAAGGAAAACGATCTTCCTCTCTGAGTGGTGCTGGGTGGCGTCTTGAGTGAGCGACGCGGCTGTAACCTGCACGCAGTGCCCACCTTCCCCACTCCTGCTGTTGTCCTGGGGAGTCTGGCTGCTGCATGCAGGCGTCTGTTCAGGGCAGGTAGAAGGAACTAAAATGGGAAGTCCCAAGGCAAAGCATTTACCCTGACAGATGTTCTACATGCATGATCATGAACCCTATACTTTTAGGGCGGTGCCCTGGCGGCCCATAATTTTCCATCTTTAATTTCTCTGATTCTGATACAAACTCTCTTCCCTTCAGAGTTGTCCAAGAAAGGAAAGAAAAGGAAGCCACTATGGAATTGCCTTTGTCATTCAAGTCTGGAGGTGAAGTCGCGGCAGCTGCTGCTGCCCGTAAGCTGGCAGTGTTGAAGGCTCGGACTGCCAGAGCACTGCCGTGTGCCGGATGTGCCAGGAACACCGATAAGAGTAAGAGTCGGGATTGCCCATCCTAGGGCTCAGGGCACAGCTTTCCTCCCTCGACACATCTTACCTGTGAAAGATACCCAGTCAGCAGCTACATTAGCCTTTTAGCAGAAGTTGCACTTTTTTCTTTTTCAGTTTGGACTAAATTTATTTTTTCCAATTAGAAGGGTCTAGCATGGGTTTCCTGCTCTAAAGCCACATTTCCCTCCATAACTATTGTCTTCTATCTTTACTTTCTCCTCTCTTTGCCTCTCTGTCATTCCACCCTCTCTAGCCAGTCCAGCTGCGTGGTGGGCAGTGGGTAAGGGGCGGTAGTGATGTTGGGGTGTATCTACATCCAGTGGCTTCCTGGCAGGTGCCTGACAACACCATTCCTATTGTGGCTCCCTGGCAGCTCAGTGGCCCTGGTTGAAGAGATGTAAACACAATAGCTAAGTCTTCCAACACCTCTGACTTTTAGGAAGCAAAGCCGCATGTATGTGATTAACTCTTAGGAGGACTTGGCAGTTGCTTGATGCTTTTCACAGTCGGCAACTTGCTAGGTAGAGAAAGAAACATCCCCAATGGTCAGCTCAATCTTAGGTGATATTGTTTGGGAACATGGTCTAGGTCTCTTATTATTCACTAAAGACCTGGTGCACGAAATTTGTGCACTGTGGGGGGGGGCGGTGTGGGGAGGTCCCTCACCTTAGCCTGTGTCCATTCACAGTCCGGGAAGCCTTGGGGGATGTCTGACTGATGGCTTAGGCCCACTCCCCATGGGCCTTAGTGTTGCCGCGGAGGCAGGAGAGGCTTCTGTCACTGGCGCTGCTCTTGCCAGCTGTGAGCCTGGCTTCTGCCTGAACAGTGCTCCCCCTGTGGGAGTGGACTGACCACCAAGGGGGGCAGCTCCTGTGCTGAGTGGGATCGGGCCAAAACCGGCTCTCTGACATCCCCCTAGGGGTCCCAGATTGTGAGAGGGTGCAGGCCAGGCTGAGGGACCCCACCAGTGCATGGTTGGGGCCAAGGAGGGATGTGAGAGGTTGACCAGCTGGGGAGGAACCGCAGGAGGGCTCCAGGGCATGTCTGGTCCATCTCTCTCAGTCCCGATCAGCTGGACCTCAGCAGCAAGCTAACCTACCAGTCAGAGCATCTGCCCCCTAGTGGTCAGTGCATGACATGGCGACTAGTCGACTGGTTGACTGTCTATCCCCTGGTGGTCAGTGCATGTCATAGTGAGCGGTTGAGCAGCCTTAGCTTTGATTGTTTGAACGGATGAACAGATGACTGGACACTTAGCACATTAGGCTTTTATTATGCACTGAGTGGCCAGATTCTTATGACCACCCCATCAGTACTCCGTTGGGCACTTTTTGCCTTCAATACTGTGGTGATTCTTCTTGGCATTGACTCCATGAGACGTTGAAAGGTGATGCGAGGAATCTGACACCATGCCTGATGAATAGCACTGTCCAGTTCTGTGAGATTTGATGGTTGTGGAACCAGCTGCCTGATGGCTCTTTTAACTTTGTCCCACAAATGCTCAATTGGATTGAGATCTGGTGATTGTGGGGGCCACCTAAGCAAGGGAAAGTCTCCCTCATGTTCTTGAAACCACTCCTGCACAATACGAGCACCGTGGCATGGTGCATTGTCTTGTTGGAAGAAGCCATCTCCATTGGGATACGCCATCAACATGATAGGATGAACTTGATTAGCAATGATACTTAGGTATGGTGTGCTATTCCAGTGGTTCTCAACCTTCCGAATGCCATGACCCTTTAATACAGTTCCTCATGTTGTGGTGACCCCCAATTTCATTGTTACAAATTGAACATAATTAAAGCATAGTGATTAATCACAAAAACAATATGTAACTATATGTGTTTTCCGATGGTCTTAGGCGACCCCTGTGAAAGGGTCGTTCGACCCCTAAAGGGGTCGCGACCCACAGGTTGAGAACCGCTGTATTCAGACGTTGTTCCACACGAATTAAAGGGCCCAAATCATGCCAGGAAAACACGCCCCAATCCATAACACTGCCCCCACCAGCTTGAAGGGTTGTACTCATGCATGTGGGGTGCATGCTTTCATGCTGTTTCCACCAAATTCTCACTCTGCCATCTGCATGATGCAACTGGAAACGTGATTCATCAGACCACATGCCTTTTTTCCAATGCTCGACTGCCCAATCCTTGTGTTCCTGTGCGAATTGGAGACGTTTTATCTTGGTAACTGCAGACAGCATAGGTGTTCCAACAGGCCTTCGGCTCTTTTGCTGATACTTGCTCCATGGCTCCGAGCGCCAGCAATCATCCCATGTTCAAAGGCTGTTAAATTGCGTTGTTTACCCATATCTTCAGAAAAAAATCACTTCTGTCTGGTAAACAACCTGCTCCCCTATTTACAATGGTCTGGCTCTCTAGCAACTTCAGGGCTAAATTATAGCTAATTTGCCTACAAACGTCAGGTGGTCGTAATAATCTGGCCACTCAGTGTATAGGAAGAGTCACAAAGACTTGGTTTTACTGGGACAAATGGGAAAAGGGAGAGGCTGGGAGGAGCAGCCTACCCAAATGTCTCCGAGGATCTCGATGCTCACTCCTAACCGAGGCTGTGTCTGTGCACAGAGCGCGATGTCGCCTCCTCAGGGTGGTTTCTGCAGAGGGAGGCCATGAAAGGTGGAGACCGTTCTCCCCCAGGAAGCTCTTTCTCTCCCAGGAGTGAGTGGAGAGACAGGGCAGCACAAACCCACCTACCAAACACAATTGAGTAAATCATGGCCCATTGTATGCCATAGAGATGTGTTCACAGACCTTGACAAAATTTCCCTGGCATTGCTGACTATTCTATTCAAAACACACCACTTAGCCTTGGCCAGTGTTGCGCAGTGGGTTGAGCATAGTCCCATGCACCAAGAGGTTGCAGGTTCCATCCCCAGGCAGGGCACATGCCCAGGTTGCTGCCTCAATCCCCAGTAGGGGGGTATGCAGGAGGTAGTTGATCAATGTTTCTCTCTCTCTCTCTCTCTCTCTCTCTCTCTCTCTCTCTCTCTCTCTCTCATCAATTAAAAAAATATCATTCTTAAAAAACACAAACACTTATTGTCGTTTTAAATTCAGCAACAGTGACAGTAATGAATACTGAAGAAACTAAGGATTGAAATGCATGATGAAGAAAACGTGAAGATTGGCAGAAATATCCAAATGAAACAGTACCATTGTGAACCACTCTTAAACATGGCATGGAATGACTACCCAATTAGGAAAACAATAAAGGTATTTTAAATGCTTTGGCTCTAAGTTGTCTTAGTCAATGCTGTATTTTTGTCTCAGAAGAAAGCCATTGGAGGGTGAGAACATTACCAGAAGCTATATATATATTTGATTTCAGAGAGGAAGGGAGAGGGAGAGAGATAGAAACATCAACGATGAGAGAGAATCATTGATTGGCTGCTTCCTGCATGCTCCCTACTGGGGATTGAGCTCACAACCCAGGCATGTGCCCTGACTGGGAATCAAACCCTGACTTCCTGGTTCATAGGTTGATGCTCAACTACTGAGCCATGCTGATTGGGCAGGGTTTGATTTTTTTTAATGACACTGTTTCCTAGTGATGCCAGAATCAAGGCAGCTTATAGCATTGTCACCAAGGCCCCCTTTTCAGAAGAAAGCTATGCTAATGAGAAGAGCAGCATCATGTTCTGTGAGGCCCAGAACCATCTGGTGCAGCTTCCTCAAAGTCTCTCGTCCAGGTAAGGATGCATGTATGTTTCAGAGTGCCTGACAGTGCTGTGGGTGATGCAAGCCAGCCCAGTTGAGTCTGGTTTTTACTTTGGAAACTTGAATATCTATATGTATAAAAGCCTAAGTGACTGTTCGACCGGTAGCTATAATGTGCACTGACCACCAGGGGGCAGATGCTCAATGCACAGGCATGGGAACATAGAACAGACTGATGAATCTCAGAGGAAAATGGGGAGGGGGGCAGGGCTGGAAGAGATTAACCAAAGATCTTATATGCATACCAGGGTCCCTCGGCCTGGCCTGCACCATCTCACAATCTGGGATCCCTCGGGGAATGTCAGACTGCTGGTTTTGGCCCAATCCCAGGCCGAGGGACCCCACCAGTGCATGAATCTGTGCACTGGGCCTTTAGTGTATATATATATATACACATATATATATATATACACGTATATGTATATGTATATGTATATGTATATGTATATGTATATGTATATGTATATGTATGTAGGAGTCCCTAGACACCCTCATTTATTTTTCAGCTGGTAAATTCTATGCATGTGAGCAATGCAGGTTTGGTCAAGGTCCTACAAGATCTTACTAGTAGCCCAGGCTTCTTCGAGAATGGAGGATGAGAGAGGGTGAGGGATAGAGGCTGGCCCTTTCCTTCTCACACACATCCTGCTGACCTTAGTTATTGGCCCTTATGTTGGTTTAGATCAGATGTCAGCACACCTTTTGTAAAGGTCCAGGCAACAACTATTTTAGGCTCTGTGGGTCAGAAGTTCTGATGCTCTTCAACTCTGCTTGTGTAGCATTAAGGTGGCCACAGACAATGGAAATGCATGGATGTGGCTAGGTTTTAATAAAACTTTATATAAAATCAGGTGATGGCTAGACTTGGCCTGCAAGCTGTGGTTTGTCAACCCCTATTTTTTTGCCCATCTTTTCCTAGAAATTTCACAACTAGTCATTTCTGTGATCTCTGTAGGTCGAAAGCCTCTGATGGTCAATTTGTTCTTATAGCTTATTGTGATTGTACCCACCTACTCTGTAAACAGCCAGGACCTGGAGTTCCCATGCTGGGATCCCATTCCCAGGAGTTATTAATTCACCTACGTCCGGCACAGGGCAGCCCGCAGAGAGCTTTTCAAGGATGCATTTTTCATGCCTACGTGAATGGGGTGTGCCATTGTCCCTCTTGCAGAGGTATGGTTGTTTGGGAGGCTTATAAAAGATCCATCAGCATCCTCTACACCAGTGGTTCTCAGCCCCAATGAACATTTGGCAACGTTGGGAGACATTTTGGATCGTCAGAACCGGGGGAGGCACTGCTGGCATCTAGTAGGTGGCAAACATCCTGTAGTGCACAGGACAGCCCACGGCAGAGAATCACCCAGCTGATGTAGTGCTGTATAGTGGTCTGACAGTGTTCAGGGAACGAAAGCAATAATTTTGTAAGGAGTAGTTATACTTTAAAAATGTCAAATTATGTTTATACATCATTTAATATTTGAATCAGTTATAATTTCTAGGCAGGACTGACCTGGGATACATCTTACTAATAAAAGCCTAGGTGGTCCTCATGCCATCACGCCATCACAAGATGGCTGCGCCCATAGTGGAGGTGGGGTTCCCGTAACGAGCCGTAATGAGCGATCAGCAGGGACCTGAGGCTGTGTGGCACTGGGGCAGGAGACCTGAGGCTAAGCCCCCTGTCCGGCTGGGCTTGATGGGGGACCTGAGGCCGTACCCCACACCCAGCGGGGCTTGACGGGGGACCTCAAGGCATGCCCCCTGCCCGGGCCTGGGCCAGTAGACCTCAGGCTGTGTCCCTCCGCCCAGTGGGGCTTGACAGTAGACCTCAAGATGTGCCCCCCCTGCCCGGGCTGGGGGAACCTCAGGTTGCACCCCTTGCCCCAGTGCTGGACCAGGGGACCTCAGGCCCTGCCCTCTGCCCAGTGGGGCTTGACAGCGGACCTCAAGGCATGCCCCCACCTTGGCACTGGGCAGGGGGACCTCAGGCCGCTCCCCCTGTTCCGGGGCTGGGCCAGGGGACCTGAGGGTGCGCCCCCCGCCTGGTGGGGCTTGATGAGGGACCTGAGGCTGGACCCCCTACCTGATGGGGCTTGATGGGGGTGGGGCCAGCCAGGCCTGGATCTTGCCCAATGGGGGTGGGGCCGGCAATTTCCTGCGATTTCAAGGTGCATGTGAATGGGCAGGGCCTTGACCCTAGGTCCCATGGCATGCATGCCCCAGACTCTGACAGGAGGAAGATTTTTATATACATTTTACTAATTTTCTTTCATCTCTGACACTTCTATTATAGAGAAAGGGCAAGTAGCAATATTAAAATATTTCCTCCAATTAATTCCCTTTTAATGTGCACAAATTTCATGCACCAGGCCACTAGTACAGAGAGAAGAGGTGGAAAAAAAGAAAAAGAAAAGAAGATTCTGGACTGCCCACTTAGGAGTAGGACCTAGGGTTGCATATGCGTCGGGTGACTGGTGAGCTCGAGCATCATTTCTAACACCATTTCGGTCAGGCCTGTGGTGCCAGCGCTCCTCTTCAGCAGAGGAACTGTACACAAAATGCGCTGAGTGAGCTCAGTTTTCACTGGCGAGGAGTGGAGCGGATTCCTGGGCTGGGACTCGTCTCGGAGGATGGTTAGTCGGGAGCCTGGTTGTTTGATCATCAGGGAAAAAGAAAAAGAGAATGTTGACGTTTCCAGTTCTCAGCCACACAGCTTGGCTTGGCTCAGGACAACTCACTGCTGTATTGTCTGAGTCTTTTACTTTCTTCACTTATGTTTCCTATTTTCAACCAAATATTTGACCCTTACATCACATTTCATGTTATCCTGAGCTGAATAGCAGTGATAATGCTTAGAGAATGATTTGAGATTTTTGAGGGAAAATTATCAGAATCCATAAGTATTACTTTAAATATTATTATTTTTACCATACAGGTTCAAAAAATCCTCTTAAGTACCAAAAGCTAATTAATACTACATATTATTATTTTGCCATGGTAATGTAGGCTGGCTATAGCTTTTGTCTGTATTTCTATGATAGTTGGGGAATATACCAAATTCCCCACTGGGTATATACCAAATCACTTCCCAACTCTCACTCCTTCTGAAAACCATTAGTATATATAATTAGTACTCTCAGAGATTTCCCCAAAGCATTTTAGCCTTTTATTTCAACTACTCTTCTATCCAATATTTCAGCATTAGCAATAATGATGAACGAAGTTGACTTCCATACCACCAGGCTGTAACAAGGTGCCCCTACAGCCGGGGGTGGTGTGGTGTGGTGTGGTTTGAGTGCGTGAGTGGGAGGTTAGAGAAGGCCAAGTGAGGCATCAGGACTTTCATACCCTTGGGAGGTCATAAGTCCCTCTCCTACCCCTGTGGTATCAGTGGAGACCACATGGAGGGCCCAATTTCTACCCTATTGGCTGGAATTTCACTACTACCCAGTGCTCCACACACACACACACACACACACACACACACACACACACATACACACACACACAGTCAGTAGAGGCCACATGAGGAGCAGTGACAAGGCATCCCTGTCCCTCCCAGCCGGGGTGGTATCAACGGGGATTAAGACGGGAAGCTGGATTTCTCCTCTAGGCCAGCAATAACAAGCCCCAAGATCTCCCATTTCATGGTGTCATGGAAGTTGAGAAAGGAAGCTGGATTTCTAACCCCATCTGGCAATGACAAGGTGATGCCCCCCAACTCCCACAGAGTCAGAGGAAGGCGCTAAAACACAAGACTTAAATAAAGTCCAGAGTCTAATGACATAATAGCCAAGTCACCCAAGATTCAAGTGAAAGTCACTCATTGTGCCAAGAACCAGGAAAATCTCCCCTTGAGTGGGAAAGGACAATTGAGGGCACCAAACATGATACAGATGCTGGGATTATCTGTAAAGGATTAAAAGCACCCATCATGCAAAATCCTTTAATGAGGAATTATGAATGCATTACATGAAAAATAGAAAATCTCTGCAAAGAAATAGAAGATATAAAGAAGAATCTGGTGGAGATTTTAGAACTAAAAAATATAACCCAAATAAAAAATTCAATGGATGGGCTCAACATCTGAATGGAAAGGACAGAGAAAAGAATCTGTGAACTTGAGGATAGAAATGATCCAATATGAACAGGAGTGAAAAAATAGAATTAAAATAAAAAAGAATCTCAGCGGTCTTTACAATATAACAAAACATCTAACATCCATGTCATTGATGTCCTAGAAGGAGAAGAGAAAGAGAGTGAGACTGAAAACGTATTTGATGAAGTAATGCCTTAAAACCTCCCAAGTTTAGCACAAGATATAAACCTAGAGATTTAAAAAATTGAATGAACCCCAAATTTATGAAAACTAAAGATAAAAACACACACATCTTGAAAGCAGTGAGAGAAATGCAACTTTACCCGTGGAGGAAAGAGGATTCTAATGACAGCAGACTGCTCATCAGAAGCCGTGGAGGTCATAGGAAGGG